TTGAGCAAATGAAAATGGACATATACAGGAGAAAAGTCTTCTTGGAGCTTCCTTCACTTGATAATTTTTCTCCAGAAACTTCTAAAAAAAAAATCTGCCATAAATCCCGTTCCTAGTTAAGTTTTCTGGCTATGATGAAAATGGAAAGTGTCATGATACATCTGCACAAACAAAGCTTTATTCCATCATTTTCTGTTATATATCTATGTTCCCGCTGTTTGCTGTTCTTGAAACTCTAACACCCTTTATTTTGACAAATTATTGTTCTGTTAAGATACTATATTAGCTTACATTCCTTTTGAACTATTATTATCGACTTTTCCCCCACGTGATATGCACTGAATGTGTTTGTGTTTTTATTAATAGCTTTTTTGCCAGTTTAATTTTATAGGTCCCATGTAAGAGGAAAAAGAATTTTCTTCCCCTATACTTACTATTTTAGGGGGAAAAACACTTCTCTCCATCCCAATCAAAATCCTACCCATAATTAAAACGATGTTTAAACACAACTTATTTTCTGAATAGAAACATCTAATAATCTGCCTGAAGGTAGTATGTCCTCAAGTCTCAGAACTCTGGTTAGTGCCCACAAGAACACCACAGTGAGTAGCCAACAATCAAAAAGGACTGTAGGATGTTTATTCTATGGGTATTCTATTAAAATCTTTGCTAATATTTTGCTCCTCCATCCAGTCAGCGACTCTTTAAAAATCTAAGACTTGATTATATACAGTAGCCTTTAGTTCCTTTGTATCTTTAAACTCCCGAGTTCATAACTTCTACTGTAGCATGGCCTATCTCATAAAATGCATTAAGGGGTAAGATTTGAAAACATATATGATAATTTAAAAAACAATGACACTTAATCTGAGGCCAAGACTCAGGAAAAAGTCTAATAAAATATGTGCTAAAATTTGTGCACAGAATTCTGATAGGTACCAAAAAGCCTATGATGAAAAACAAAGCAGGCTCTTCAGAGATACTGAATATACAAAGAATAATGGCCAGAGAATGTATTACAAAAATAGAACTTTGACCCACAACCTGTGCAGGAATTAGTATAGGAAAGCAATCACAATCTCTGTGGCAACCATTCCATAGTTCTTGATCAGTAATGGCCAGCCTTCCTATTTCCAACTTAGAACCAGACTGAGAAAAGCAGATCTGCATCTCTCAGCTACAGGAGGCCTTGCTTAGTGTAAGACTGCCTCCAACAGAGCCAGAGAGATACTAGTGGGTAAGGCACTCGCCTTACATGCAGCAGACCTTTGTTCAATTACTGGCACCATATATGGACTTTTATGCCCCACCAGGAGTGGCAGAGTCAAGGGCAAGCCCTGGGCAACTCCAGGTGTGACTCCCAAATGAAAAAGACTGCCTCCAGCTTGGCAATAGGGAATTTCCTATCAAGGCATAAGTGAAACACTTCCTGTTTTCCACTAGAATCTTCTACACTCCCTTTGCCTCGAAGCACGTGCCAAATGCAAGCAATGGTGGTCGCTACTTTACTAGAGCAAGCTCTGTAAGAATATCTTTTGTTCTCACTTAGGCATTCTCAATTTACTTCCAGATTTGGAACTTAGGGATTATTATAGGTAGTTTCAATGATTAACTAGAGGCCTCAAAGATTTATGAATGGTATAATTTCAGTAGGGTTTGAATGCAAAATTTGGCCACTAACCCTGGTATACAGAAAGCTCATTAGCACCAGACTTTTTTTTTTTTTGTCTGTTTTTATACTGATACAGTGACAGATGAACTTTACTGGGAAAATTACACTGTATTTTAGAGTGTGTTTTTGAAGGTGTCAGACTTAATAACTGAAAAGATTTAATGTTCTTCTACTGAGAGATTCCAAATGGTAATTTGGAAAGAGTCAGCTTTGAAGTGTGAAAAGAAAATTAGTAAAAGTGAAAGACTAACCTAAAACCCTGGAAAATAGTGGTACGCAGAAATAAACACAGAATCTTGGGTATAAACGGTTTAAATGCTAGGAATATAATAGAGAACAATCTAGACAAAAATTTTGCTTTAGTGGAACTTATACAGATCTTACTGAATTCATGATATGATTAGGTCCTGATGATCAGTTTTTCATCCTACATTGAAAATACATTAAATCTAAAAACGCCTACCCTTAATTTACTGCTCATCTTAGCTTTGCTCTCCTTAAAGTGCTCAAAACACTTAAATTAGCCGAAAGCTGGGCAAAATCATCTAAAACAAAGCCTACTTTTAACCATGATGGTTAGCTTATCTCTTTTGTTTTGCTTTGTTTAAGGGCCACACTGGGTTATGCACTCAGGAATCACTCCTGGCAGGCTTGGGCACCATTTGGGGTGTCAGAGATTATCCGACCCACTGTAGTATCTCTGTCCCCTATCTTGTAACTTACTGAAAACTACAAAAAAAGATTAATCTGTAGAATATAGGTTTGCTACCCTGAAGATTTAGTGGCTGACAGGGAGCTTTGGTTCCCTGCTGCTGTTTAGTATCTTGAGAGTATTATAAAGAATATGTAGGGAAAAAAATCAAAACTCGAAGCACATTTCTATTAAGTGTGTATAAATTATCTACCACTGTAATGTCAGAAAAATCCTGGGCATTTTGGGAGTTGGGAACTGGTTAGGATTAGTGGGGAGGGAAATCTATAATTTTATGATGTACATAGAAGTTGAAATGATCAGATCAGCTAACAGTCTTCTTTAGAAGTCTTTAAACTTCCTGAGGATTTTGTCTGGGCAAAACATAACACAACATAACATAACACATTCCCACACAGGGAGGGAAGATGGGAATGTCTGAGTTTAGGATAGTAAACTAGACTGGATGGCCACAGTACACAAAACAGTCAAGTTTTAATTTTTTTGATCTATAGACCATAAGGGCTGGAGCAATAGCACAGCGGTAGGGTGTTTGCCTTGTACGCAGCCAACATGGCCGATCCGAGTTCGATTCCTCCGCCCCTCTCGGAGAGCCCGGCAAGCTACCAAGAGTATTCGATATGCCAGACACAGTAACAACAAAGTCTCCAATGGGGAGATGTTACTGGGCCCGCTCAAGCAAATCGATGATCAACGGGAGGGCCTTTTGTATTTTTTGTATAGACCATAAAAGTACTACATTATGAGACTGACAACCCAGTGGGGGAAAAAAATAGATCTGGAAGACTTCAGGTCTGCAGTCAAACCTCAGTAGTAATTTTTTTTTTCTCTGAAAAATAGTTTCTCAACGACATACTGGGTACTAATAATTTATTAGAAATGAGAAATGGATTGGACACCACTAAAGTTGTCAATTAGTATTGTCTTCCTAGTCAATTTAGTATTCGATTTCAGACAAAAGATATGTGATTACAGAAGACAATTCCTTTGTACCATCAGGTAAAGATAGCACAAATACACTGATGATAGACAAGGCCACTACCATTGCAGAATTATTGAGCTTCGTTTCTGTTTTCTAAACAACAAATCAGGCCGCTGGCAAAGGTTTTTTTTTTTTTTTATGTTATTCAAAAGATAGTCACTAAAACGTAAGAGTCAGCAGCACTGAAATCAAGAAACCCAGAGGCTGGAGCGGTAGCACAGCGAATAGGGCGTTTGCCTTGCACCCGGCCGACCCAGGTTCGATTCCCAGCATCCCATATGGTCCCCTGAGCACCGCCGGGAGTAATTCCTGAGTGCAGAGCCAGGAGTAACCTCTGTGCATCGCCGGGTGTAACCCAAAAAGCAAAAAAAAAAAAAAAAAAAAAAAGCCAAAACTTGAACAACCGAACTTAGAAAAGTGCCTGTCAGGCAGGGGGGGTCCGGGGTGGGAGGGATATGGGAAAGGGATATGGAAGGGAACCTGGGAATATTGGTTGGAGGGAAGCTGACACCGGTGGTGGGATCAGTCCTGCAATATTGTATGTCTAAAACTCAACTATGAACAACTTCGTAAATCATGGTTTTTTTTTCTTTTTTTTTATTAGTGAAACAGCATGAGGTACAGTTGTAGACTTACAAATTTTTGTGCTTGGGTTTCAGTTATACAATGATCCAGTACCCATCCCTCCACCAGTGCCCATCCTCCACCACCACGGGTCCCAGCATCCCCCCCACCCCCCATCCCCCGCGTCCCACCCTGCCTCTGTGGCAGGGCATTCCCTTTTGTTCTCTCTCTCTCCCTTTGGGTCCTGTGTTTTGCAAGAGAGGCATTGAGTGGCAGTCATGTTCGGTCCATAGTCTACTTTCAGCATGCTTCTCCCACCCTGGGAGGCTGCTCCCAACACCCTTTATTTGGTGCTCCCTTCTCTGTCTGAGCTTCCTTTTCCCCTAGCACGTGTGGCTGGCCTCCAAGTCGAAATCATGGTGCTTTGAAGAAAAGAAAACCGAGTGTTAAGAATAAAACCCTTTTAGCTTAATCCTTAATACCCGCTGAACCGCTAGGAACTGAGAGCGGACCTGGGAAAGGACTAAATTCCGACACTCGCAGGACAAACAGGCAGAGGAAGCGCAGCTCAAGAGATGCATCACGTTTGCTCGAGATGCATCACGTTTACCCGGCAGGCTTGCAGGCAGCAAGACTCCTGCTCGGCGCTGACACGTGCTCTTCCGTCGGGGGCGCGAGAAAGGGGCTTCCAGAGAGTTCTGCGGCGGAATCGAGGACGGAAGAGCAGCTGCCGGATTCCGCCCCACGTCGCGCCACCTCCCGGGTCCTCCGCGCCCGCTTCCCTCTTCCTCTTCCCGCCGGGAGTCCCTTGGGGGCGAGACAGGCAGCCTCTGCCCACCCCAACTCCTCCTCCCCACGCCACCCCGGAAAGCGCGACCCGGCGACGCGGGGCGCCGCGTCACCAAGGAGACCGGCCGGCCCACCGGCGCCGTGACGCCACTTCCGCGCGCCGCCGTGACGCCACTTCCGCGCGCCGCCGCCGCCGCCGCCAGGGTCGGGCGGAGGGGGCGGGGCCGCCAGCGCTGACTGGCCGGCCGGGGGCGGGGCCGGGGTCTCTGGCTCGGGGCCTCCGCTGCCCGCTCGGCCGCTGCTCGCCTGGTCCGGTCCCGGGCCGCTGCCGCCGGCTGGCATCGCTTTCCAGAGGTGGCTTCGGGGGCTGGGCCGCCGGCGCGGCCTGGCAATGTCAGGCCTGGCGCCCGCGCTCTGAAGCCGAGGCCGCGGCCGTGGCGCTGGGCGGCGGCGGCGGCGGCGGCGAGTCCGGGTCGGATCCGCTCATGGTGCCGCCACGACGCTGCCACCGCGGGGCAGGAAGGCCAGGTAGGCGGGGCAGGCGGGGCAGGCCCGGGCACCGGGACGGGGACGGGGACGGGGACGCCGAGCGCGGCGGCCTGTCCGCGCGCGCAGCCCCGACGACGGCCCGCGGCGTGGCCGAGCCCGGCCCGGGAGCCGGCGTGTGCGGGCCGAGTGGCGGGGGGTGCTGCTGGGGGGCGTGCAGCGGGGTCCGCGCCGGCGGGGGAGGGAGCCGAGGTGTGCGGGCGGAGTGACGGCCGGGACGCTGCAGCTGCTGCTGCTGCTGCTGTTGCTGTTGCTGTTGCTGTTGCTGTTGCTGCTGCTGCTGCTGCTGCTGCTGCTGCTGCTGCTGCTGCTGCTGGGGGCGTGCAGCGGGGTCCACACTGGCGGGGGAGGGAGCCGAGGTGTGCGGGCGGAGTGACGGCCGGGACGCTGCAGCTGCTGCAGCTGCTGCTGCTGGGGGCGTGCAGCGGGGTCCACGCTGGCCCTGCGAGCAGCCGATCGCCGGGCCCGAGTGACGTTGGAGACGCTGCTGCTGCTGCTGCTGCTGCTGGGGGGCTTGCCACCCCGTCCGCACTGGCCCTGGAAGGAGCCGATTTTCTGCGGGCGTCGGAGTGACGGGGACGCTGCTGCTGGAGGGTTGGGGGCGGAGGCTGGGGGTGGCGGGGGGTGGGGGGCGTGCTGTCATTTCCACGCTCGCTGGCATAGGAGCGGATCCGTGCGGGCTGGGTGGCGGTCGGGAAGCTGCTGGGGGCGGGGGGCGGGCGGGGGGGCGTGCAGCCGGGTCCACACTCGCCGGGAGAGGAGCCGCCGATCTGCGCGGATGCGGCTCGAGGGGGTGGAGGGAGGTGTTGGAGGGGGCGTGCAGCTCGGTCCACTCTCGCCCTGCAAGGAGCCGATCTGTGCGGACGCTGCTGGAGGGGGTTGGGGTGGGGGCTTGGAGGGGGCGTGCTGCCTGGTCCACACTCGCCCTGCAAGGAGCCGATCTGTGCGGACGCTGCTGGACGGGGTTGGGGTCGGGGTTTGGAGGGGGCGTGCTGCCCGGTCCACACTCGCCCTGCAAGGAGCCGATCTGTGCGGACGCTGCTGGAGGGGGTTGGGGTCGGGGTTTGGAGGGGGCGTGCAGCCCGGTCCACACTCGCCCTGCAAGGAGTCGATCTGTGCGGACGCTGCTGGACGGGGTTGGGGTGGGGGCTTGGAGGGGGCGTGCTGCCCGGTCCACACTCGCCCTGCAAGGAGCCGATCTGTGCGGACGCTGCTGGAGGGGGTTGGGGTCGGGGTTTGGAGGGGGCGTGCAGCCCGGTCCACACTCGCCCTGCAAGGAGCCGATCTGTGCGGACGCTGCTGGAGGGGGTTGGGGTGGGGGCTTGGAGGGGGCGTGCTGCCCGGTCCACACTCGCCCTGCAAGGAGCCGATCTGTGCGGGCGGAGTGACGTGGACGCTGCTGGGTGGTGTTGGTGGTGGTGGTGGTGTAGGGGTCGTGCAACCCGGTCCACACTCGCCCGGCTTGAAGCTCTTGCGTGGGAGATGCACCTGGGGTCGTGCAGCCCGGTCCACACTCGTGCAATCCAAGAAAGAGCCTGGGCGCCGCCGCCGCGGGGGGAGCGGGACCCACGTCACTGCCCCAACTTTTTTTTTTTAATTACCCAAAGAGTAATTAAAATTACCAAAGGGTCGGCACACGGGGATGGGCCTCGGGGGGAGTGCGGAGGGTTCCCCACTTTCTCGTGGGTGATTGATTGCTTAGGTGCGCCCCGAGGCTCAGCAGCGCGGACCACTTCTCCCCAAGATCCAGGTTCCACCGGAGGCAACTGCGGACCCAGCCCCAGGCTCCTGTCTAGACTCTTTCCGGGGCGTGGATTCCCAGGGAGGAAAAGGAGAATGAATTCCGTATTTATGGAACTCGCAGGAACGGTTTTCCTGCCGTGGTTAAGAAATGACGTTAGACCCAAAACGAGAGAGAGAACACAAGGGATCGCCCTGCCACAGAGGCAGGGGGGGATGGGAGGGGTGGGGGTGGGAGGGATATTATCCATGGTGGTGGAAAATGGGCACTGGTGGAGGGATGGGTATCTGATCATTGTATAATCAAACCCAAGCACAAAAAATTGTAAGTCTACAACTGTACCTCATGGTGTTTCACTAAAAATAAAAAAAAAATTTAAAAAAAAAAGAAATGACATTAGTTAGCTGGGAGTGGGGTGGGGGATAGTCGTTCATCCTGAGTACTTCTAAGGGTAGAATTTCAAGTGCACTAGAGTTAACGTTTGACGTCTGAAAAGCAAGTGACACTTGGGTTTAACACACTCAGCTTTGAATTTTGCCCTCATTCAAGGTTGTTGTTGTTTTATACTAATATAAACTAATATAGTATATAGTAAATATACTAATGCATATTTAAAGCATTCTTGCAATATTGTTGGATTATCTGGATTATCTTTGCCCTTGAGGTATGTCCATTCTAGTGGAAACTGAATGCTGGATGTTATTTTGAATGGGTGATCATTATTTGGGTACCCAATATGCCAAATACCAGTAACAATGATGGGTCTCATTCTCCTAAAGAGCCTTGAATATAATCTCAGGGGTAGGGTGAAGGAGACGTTACTGGGGCCTGCTGGAGGCAATCGACGATTAACAGGATGATTTGTGATTTTGTGATCATTATTTTGTGGTCGCAGGTGCGCTGAGTTCTTCACCTCCTTTTAGACTCAGCTCTGCCAAGTTTTCAGGCCTGGCTCTTGAAGACCTCAGGAAGGCCCTGAAAATAAGGTAAATTCCGCGTTGTTTTATTGTCTAATTTTCTCTAGCAGATGCCAGTTTGTGGTCATTGTAGTTTTCTCTTTGTGTGTGTGTGTGCCTAGTTTTTCAGGAATCCCTTCTAATGTGATCTATATTTTCTGAAAAAACAGACTGCAAATGGTATGTGTGTTTATCATGAACCGAATGAATTCCCAGAGCAGTGGTTTCACTCAGCGCCGGCGACTGGCTCTTGGGATTGTTATCCTCCTGCTTGTTGATGTGATCTGGGTGGCATCCTCAGAACTTACTTCGGTATGTAATTCTTATTTGGGAATGATATGCCATTGTAAGAACTTAGCTTTCACTTCATCATACCTCTAGTCATTATTCTTCTATGCATATTTAAAGCATTCTTGCACTATTGTTGGATTATCTGGATTATCTTTGCCCTTGAGGTATGCCCATTCTAGTGGAAACTGAAAGGGTACTCATGCGTGTATACAGTTTCATCTTTCAGGCACATTTCTTTCCAGAGTGAAATAATATGTTTATTAATACATTGAAGGTATTTCTGTTTTGTTTTTTAAAAATTCCATTTCTTTCTCTATGCCTTTTATTTTTTCAGTGAACAACCAGGGAAGAGGCAAAGCCACTTGCCACCAGTTAGTAACAATGTTTTGAAGAAACAAGTGAAAGTGATTTTGTTTGAGACTGCCTTTCTGTTCCCAGGTCACTGTAGTACACAGGGTTGCACATTTGTACGTTTTCTGATTCAAGCATTTTGCGAAGTGCATGGTCATTTCTTCAGTTAAATTTTATTTTCTCTTTATTGATGATCCACTATCAGCGCTGAGGCATTCTCATTGTAAGAAGCTCAATTTTTTACTTGTACACTTTATTGGTTTTGGCTACTGAGACTTATAAAAAGACAACTTATTTTCAGAAATAACTGCAACTTAACTTTCATGTTTTAGTTTTAAACCAAAGGCAATAAGTTCTTCTAAAAATGAACTTCTGTGTCAAAAGAAGCATCATGACAATATTGGTCATGTCACATCATAGCCAATAGTTGACATTAACATGGAATCTGATGAACACATAAAGCTCTTGCCTTTTTAAAAAAATTTGGCTGTGAAATACAAATGCCGTTTATTTTTCAATATTGTATGACCTCTATCTTTTGTAACCTTTCAAAACCTCATTTCATTTTGTTTTGTTTTGTGTGAGGGGCCCTACTCAGGGGTGCTCAAGGCTTTGTCCTTTCTGGCTCTGTGCTCCGGGATCGCTTGTGGTGGTGCTTGGGGGCAATATGTGATCAAACCCTTGGTAGTGATAAGTGTGCAAGTGAAGGACCAACTCTCTTCTCCAGCCCTTAATTACCTTGTAGGATTAATGTTCCATGCTTTAACCAGAAAGAAATCTTGTTATTGTTAACAGAAAAAGTCAAGAGAATGATATAATGGATCTCCTTGTACCCCCTCACTTGCCTTTAACAATTCATAACGTTTTCTGATCTTCTCAGCTCTCATATTTTTTGTGGAGTGTTTGTTTGTTTGTTTAGGAGGTTATTCTTGGTGGTGCTAGTTGAGGCCACACCATGCTGGGGTTGAACCCATTGAACTATTTTCCTAGTCCTCCTGAAGTATTTTAAAGCCAGTTTTATTGTATAGTCACTAACACCTCTATGTTCTTTCATCTAAACTCAAAGTGCCGTTAAGATTTTTAAAGATGATGGCAAATAGGGGCCAAGAAGATAGTAAAGTGGGTAGAGCATTTGCCTTTCCTGCGGCTGGCTTGGGTTCTATCTCCGGAACCCTCTATGGTTCCCTGAGCCTGCCAGGGCTGAACCCTGAGCTTGGAGTGAGGAATAGGCTCTGAGTACCACTGGGTTATGGCCTCAAAATAAACACAAACCAAAGAAATGATAAAAATATATATAATTCAGATTCAGATTTTCCTGGCGTGTCAAGCACATCTTTCTAAACAAAATTTCACTTTTTTCTTTATCATTGCCGTTAATGTTCTTAATAGGAGCTTGGTGCTGAGCCCCAGAGGTGTTTGGAACCACCAAGGCACTCATGGTGGTGCTTAGGAGGGAAAGCATTAGTGCCAGAGCTCTGACACAGGCCTTGCACATGCCAGGCCTGTGATCTGCCACCTGCCATATCCCTCACTCTGCCGTATTTTTTGGAGGGTGAAGGGGTAGGAGCAGAGTGAGTTTCCTAAGCAGCATTCAGGGGGGCCTTTGGGCCTCTACCAGCCATTTTCCACCTGCTGTGCTCTGCTAGGGATTCAGTGCTGCTTTGTGTGGGAGGAGGATATGTTGCCAGAGATTGAGTTGGCATCTTAACCCCTCTAAGATCTTTCTTCATCCTTATTTTGTCTTTTAAGTCATGTTCATACTTTAGATATTTCCCTCACTGTTGCCCTTTTCGCCCCCTCTTTTTTTATGACATCAATCTGTTGAGGCAAACATTTGTCTTGTAGTATATAATATATATATATTATGTATAGACATATATTTATGCATATAATATATACATACATAATATACATGTATATATTATGTATGTATCACACTGTCTTCATTTTTTTCAAGTGGCTTGCTGCTATAACAGGAATACTGTAGACGCAGAGGCTTAAACAGTGAACCTCTCTGATACTTCTAGAGATCTAGAAACTCTGGGATCCGGGGTCTGACGGAATTGGTGTTTACAGACCTGCTTCCCTGATTTCAAGATGTCAGGGATTTATTATTGTGTATTTTATTTTAAAAATCATGTTTTCACTGGACAGGTGCTGGAGGGCCTCCTGAGATCCCTTTCGTTGTTGAGCTTATCAAAAGCACTCCACAGTGACCATGGGATTTCCCCACTCCCACCCTCTGTTGGGAGGGTACCATCACTTGAGTTTTGCCGAGGGGTGATAGAGCTGATTTTCATTTATAATAGACATATACATTTGGCTGATTACTTTCTTGGCGCATCATTGGAATCGATACCTTTTTCTTAGTTTTGGCAATGTGGTAGACCGAAGTCTTGATGTTATACAAGTTCATTTTGGCGGTGCTAAGTACTTCCCATGACATCACAGCATGAGGCACTTGACAGCCACCAGTTTCACCCTTGGTGCCAGTTTGCGTACTAGAAAGTTCCTTATCTGCTTTGAGATGATAGTTGAATATTCATATAAGTATTGCCCCTTCTTTGCATTGGAGGTGGTGAGGAGTAATTTTTCAAGGATCTGTTCTGTATTTATTAGCTGGAATTCTTTAAGTAGGACTTTTACATAGCTGCTCTTTGTTTATCCTGATAGACGTTTCATACAGGGAAGTTTGATTGATTAAATTGATTCATTTCCTTCATTTATTTTGGAGTACTGTTGCCTAGTAACTTCCATTAAAGACCATACAGGAATGTTTAAAATATTCTTATATTCATAATTATTTGCATATTTGATATGTTTGAAGTAATTATAGTTATTAATCCTTTTCATACTTAAGCTGTTCTATCCACAATAAGCAGGGGCCCTCTAAATTGTTTCAAGTCACTTTTCAGCGTTACCCCATTAGACTTACGCATCCTGCTTACTTTATGACACAAATTTCCCAGCCTTATATTGTACATTTCCTGTCCCATAGTTGGACTTAGCCATTTCTTCAAATATCCTTATTTTTTTTCCATGTTACATGGTAGAGATACATGGCTGGAGCGATAGCACAGCGGGTAGGGTGTCTGCCTTGCACGCAGCCAACACGGCCGACCCGAGTTCGATTCCTCTGCCCCTCTCGGAGAGCCCGGCAAGCTACCGAGAGTATTCGATATGCCAGACACAGTAACAACAAAGTCTCCAATGGAGACGTTACTGGGCCCGCTCGAGCAAATCGATGATCAATGGGAGGGCCTTTTACTTACTTTACATGGTAGAAATGACCATCTAGATTTTAGAGGTGCTCAGCCTGATTTGTCATTTATCTTTTTTTCTTTTCTTTTCTTTTTTTTTTTTTGGCCACACCCAACTGTGCTCAGGGCTTACTCCTGGCTCTGTGCTCAGAAATTATTCCTGGAAGGCTTGGGGGACCAGATGGGCTTCTGGGTATCAAACCCAGGTTGGCTATATACAAGGCAAGTGTCTACTCACTGTACTATTGCTCTGGCACCTGGATTCTCTTTTTTTTTCTAGAGCTTTTTGTGCATATAATTAGAATTATTTTTTCAAAAAAAGAAAAAAATATGAGTGCATACTGAGATTTCCAACTTAAATGAACAACAAAGGTTTTATATAACTTTCTAATAATACTGATCTTCATGCAGTTTTTTTCATAAAAATGTTTCATTGTCTTATTTTTTATTCTGTTTCACTTACTTCATTAGTGACTATCCAGCCCTTCACGCACAACCCAAGAATTGCTTTTCTTGTGAACTTCCATAACCTTCCAATGGTCTCTCTTCCTCTGGTACTCTCATAAGTATCTGGTATACACTGTTGTGGTGATAGTTAGTACTTTATGTTATAGACACTTTACAGTTTTCATGAAAACCTGTCCTTTTTCCCTTACTGTGGCACAAAGTACTGTTGCATAGCAGATTTTCAGTAAATATTAAACAAAACTTTCATAAACTGTTGCTTTGTTTGGGATTGTTATCTCTTGTATCCGAGACAGATACAATATTTAGAAAGGTATTTATGCAATTTTTACAGTTCCTGTAGATATTTCCTTTCAAGTAAATGTTTAAAGAGATAAAAAGTAATGTGCTGACCTTACTTTATGGGAGATCAGTAATAACACTTAAAGTCTTCTTCTAGTTTATATGATTTTTTTTTCCCCTTTACAGTATGTTTTCACTCAGTACAACAAACCATTCTTCAGCACCTTTGCAAAAACATCTATGTTTGTTTTGTACCTTTTGGGCTTTATTGTCTGGAAGCCTTGGAGACAGCAGTGTACAAGAGGATTTCGAGGAAAGCATGCAGCTTTTGTAAGTTTTTAGTCTTAATATTGAAGAATGGACAGATTTTTAAATTATTATTAGTTTAAAGATGTGTTAAGTTTCTTGAAACTGAATCAGATTAAGGTACAACACTTCCTTTACCTCACCTCATGGTCTCTTCTGTGTTGTTAAAAATCACTGCACTACCCGAAGTCAGTTAACAGGGAGAAGGAGCTAAAAGTAAGGAAAAAGAGTAATGTCTGAAGTCTTTCGACATTTGATAACAGGAGAATGTTATTTCATTTGTTTTACAATTAAGGAATCAGAATAACTCAAGATTTTAATATTAAATAAAAATCACATATTTCAGTGGTTTTTCATGCGTCAGATATTTACCTAATCACATACCTAATCACAGAATCACATATTTCAGTGATTTTTCATGCTTCAAATATTTACCTAATCATGTTATGTTAAAACATGTAGATTTATATCATTGAAAGAAATGGCAATTTCTATTAGTGATGTATTTTCCTTGTAGAAGTAGAAACTGAATATTTGGGACAAAAGAATATATAACTCCCTTGTATTAATCTTTTTTTCTTTTTTTATTATTCTCACTTTCTCCTTTCTAAAAAAATGCAGTAAAATAAGCATAACATCATATTTAGTATCTTGGCCTTTTTTCCTTTTCTCCACTTTCGTAGGAAAAAAAATCCAAATCTACTACTTTAATCGTTTTTCATTCATAGTTTACTGGTGTTAATTACATCAAGTATGTAGTGCAGCTATCACAACTTTAACCTTTTAATCACCCCAATTAAAAGTTTTATTTGTTTTTATGTTTTTGGGCTATCCTTGCAGTGCGCAGTACTTATTCCTGCCTCTGTTCTTAGGTATCACTTCTGGTGGGGCTTAGGGGACCATATGGGATGCCAAGGATGGAAACTAGGTAGCATCCTACCCATTGTACTATCTATCACTCCAGTCTCTCAAATAGAAAATTTTAGCCATTAAGCATTAGTTATTCTATGTTTATTCTTCCCAGACTTTGGTAACATTTGCTTTTTGTCTCTATCAGTCTTTTATGTATATATTTTGTTGTATGTATCAAGAGAATTTTACTTATCTTCGTTAATGAATACATTCTTAGAAGATGTACTTGTTGAATTTTTGTCAGGAAATTACTAGTAAATTATTTGAGGAAAAGCTAGAAAGGTATACTTGCTCACATAAAATTTATCAAAGATATGAACATATATCTTTCATTTCATTTAATAAAAATAATAGACATTGTAGAAATGCATAGACTTTGTACTGTTAAATGTAGAGATACTCTATGTACACGTGTGTTGTATGTACATTTAGTGTGTATATTGTTGAAAAGTTAGAAAGGACCAATGAACAAAAAGAAGAAAGTAATAAATTCTACCACTCAAGGAATAATTGGTTCTGGTCTTTGGCATTTATCTTACCATTCATTTTTATTTTTTTTATAAGATTAAAATTGTACAGTTATGTCCTGTTTTATTATACTTTTTTCTATTAAACAGTAGAGTACATCATCAGCAGCTTTCTATGTAATTTAGTATTATCAGAACTTTTTCTTATGTTAAGTATTTTTAAAATATAATAGTGATGTTCATTGTTGAAACAAATTATGGTAACAGAAGTATAAGAGCAGTGTAACCCGAGGCCAAGGATGGCTCAGATGTTGAGTGCCTGCCTTGTAGGTACAAGATCCTGCATTCTGTCATGGCACTGTTCACATGCTAAGTGTGATCTTAGCAGTACTGCTGTTCTTGATGCTTGTCCCCTAGCAAAAGTGTGATTTGGGGGACATTGCAACTAAAGTGCATTATCTCCAGTGAACTGCATCCAAGAGTGTGAAGTTCTGATGAGCACCACAGGCAAATGAGCAAACACTGCAACCTGACCACCAACACAGTAGGGAGGAAGGGAATAGTCCAACTTTACATCTCTGTACCCATGTAGAGGTGAAGCTATACCCCTGAAATTCTATAATACTGTAGACCAGTGGTAAATCAATTTTAAAAAAGGAGTGGAGAGGGAAATTTGAAGTGCTTGAAGATAAAAGAAAGACTAGTCTAACCATAACTTCACAAATGACCATAATTTCATTATTATTTGTTGTTGTTTTTCTTCTTGTTGGGGTTCTGGGGCTTGATGTGGCCATATTCAGTGGTGCTCAGGGCTTACTCATGGCTTTGTGCTCCAGGATCACTTCTGACAGTGCTCGGGGAACTATATGTAGTTCAGGGGATAGAACCTGCATCAGCCACACGAAAGCAAGGCACACATTTTACCCATTTACTGTCTCTCCTGCCGTGAATCAATTTCTAATCTAATCCAATTTTATATTGCACTTTTAACATTGATATCATTAATACCTTTCCAAGATGACATTTATTATATTTTTATGTTATAATGAACCAGTCCTTGATAGATTGTTTTTATTTTTATCTTGATAAAAATAAATAGAAATATTTTTATTCAAATTTATAATTACTTTGGATAAATTCCTAAAAGCGTAAGTGCTAGATAAAGCAATAATGCTATTTTTCAAGTTTCCTGGTTTTTGAAAAAAATTATAATTCTTAAGTTATTACCAATAGTGGTTCTACCTTTTCATATCTCTGCTGTGTATAAGATTGAATCCATTGCAAAACCCCAACATTTGCCACTTTGGTAAGTGAACAATGATAGTTCATAAATCCACAGGTTTTTACTTACTTAAAAAATCTATTTTTGCACATTAGAATTGATTTGTAAGTTGTCTCTTTTCCATTTTTTTACATAAGTTCCTTTTCTTTTTTACATAGAAAGTTTAGCTATGTAGCGCTAAACTTCTACATAGAGTTGTCTTTTTTTTTCTTTTAAGGCTTCTTATGAGCATGGGTCTGGTGTTTGAATTTTGATCTGTTGCTTGATGATTGACCTTGGGCACATTAATTAACATCTTTAGATTTTAATTAGGAAGAATAATAGAGGTTGAGGTGGGCAAAGTTATATCACACTAGCATAGATTCTCAAAATGTGATCTAGTCTCCATGATCTATTTTGGGAGGATTTGGGGTCTCATACTGTGATAATTATGAGTAGCATTATGGCGGTACTAAGATGTTGTTTATTGCGAGTATACCCGTCCTTTCTTGGTATTCTAAAATGTAATAATAGTATTGTGCAAAGGTGTATGTTTTTGAGTTGGAGCAGCTTTGCCTTTATTCCTAGCTCTATTGCTTAAATAGTAAGTAATCTTACTATTACTTCATCAATAAAATGAAGATAATAATACCTACCTTGCATGGTTAAATATTTGGCATTTGCTACTGCTGTGATTAATGGTTGTAATATAGATCTGTTCTAGAATTTTAAGTTTCTGCCTTTGAGCCAGTACTGACACTAATTTTATTTTCATAATGTGAATTTAATCAAATTTCATGTGTCATTATTTGTAGTTTGCAGATGCTGAAGGTTACTTTGCTGCTTGTACAACAGATACAACTATGAATAGCTCTTTGGTAAGTGCTTCTTTTCTCATCAAGAATGGAGTGGGTGGAATTGAACCCCGGCAGGAAGAAACCGAAATAGCTTTGATAGCGCCATAGCTATATTAGGGTGTAGATGTTTTTCCATAGTGGGCACTCTTCATTTCATACTGCACTGTAATTTGCTACCTTTTCTCTTTGGGACACCTGGGGTCTAAAAGCAAGCAGTATAGCCACTTCTGGGGATTGAAGGAAAAAGAAAATTGGTTAAGGAATGAAAATAGTAACGAACAGCCTTTCGTCCTGGGTTTCTTACCAGCCTGTCACTCCATATTCATTATATTATTAGCACAAAGAATCATATATTTGCCTGATGCAGATTTTGTTGTCAGATTGTATACTTATTTATTCACATTTTATGAACACAGCAAATTTTTAAGAATAGTTGTTCTAGGCTCTGAAAACAGAGCTTTTACTTTTATGTGTAAAAATATGTTTGGGGAAGAGGATAAAATATAATAAATAGCCAAATCAAGTAAATTAATATCCCCTTGTTTTAAGATTTTATCATGTATAGAATTTGAAAGTGGTCTGTAAAAATATATTCTTTGAGATGTTATATAAATTTACGAACACCGACGCATTATTGACAGTACAGCTTTTTCTTTGTCTGGCTTTCAGAAACACTGTTGCTCGCAGAATTGGTCTCCAGATACTGTGAATAGTTTATGAAACTATATAAAATGTCTTTTAAATTTTCATCTTGGATCTTAAGCATCAACAGATTAATATCAGTTATTAAATGTGGAAGACAGGTAGAGTTGAAATGGAAGCCTTCTGCTCTATTAGTAAAGTAAAGTAAAGTAAAGGCCCTCCCGTTGATCATCGATTTGCTCGAGCGAGCCCAGTAACGTCTCCATTGGAGACTTTTGTTGTTACTGTGTCTGGCATATCGAATACTCTCGGTAGCTTGCCGGGCTCTCCGAGAGGGGCGGAGGAATCGAACTCGGGTCGGCCAGGTTGGCTGGATGCAAGGCAAACGCCCTACCGCTGTGCTATCGCTCCAGCCCAAAGCTGAAACTTAAAGGAATTGACAGAAGGGCACCACCAGGAGTGGAGCCTGCGGCTTAATTTGACTCAACACAGGAAACCTCACCCGGCCCGGACACGGACAGGATTGACAGATTGATAGCTCTCTCTCGATTCCGTGGGTGGTGGTGCATGGCCCTTCTTAGTTGGTGGAGCGATTTGTCTGGTTAATTCTGCTCTATTAAGATGAATATATCTTTATTGTTCTAGGCCAAGTACTTTAACAAAAAGTTGGATGTTGCAGAGACTATTTTAATTTTCAGATCTTATTCTCTCTCTCTCTCTCTCACATTTATGGGTCACACCTGGCAGTGCTCAGAGGTTACTCCTGGCTCTGAACTCAGGAATTACTTCTGGTAGTGGCAGTGCTTGGCAAACCATGTGGAATACCAGGGATTGAACCCGGGTCAGCCATGTGCATGGCAAAGACTCTACCCACTGTACTGTCGCTCTGGCCCCATCCATTGTCTCGTTCAGTATTTTTTGTTGTTAGAATTCTGTATCAGGAGTTAAAAAGAGAAGTTCAAGAAACACACTAAGCATTTTATTTACTATAAAAACAGTCTAGTTGGAGAAGTGTGTTTTTTTTTTTATTTTATTTTTCAATTTTGGGACCTTATCTGACAGTACTTAGGGCTCACTCCCGACTCTGCTCAGTGGTCATTCCTGGTGGGTGCTGGGGATTGAACCAAGTGCTGGCTGCTTGCAAAGAAAGCATCTTAATCCCTATACTGTCTCTCTGACTTAAGAATTGTGTCTTGAACTATGGTACATTTACACAACAGAATACCACTCACCCGTTCAGAAAAATTAAGTCATGAAATTGGCTTATACACGGATGGACATGGAAAGTATGCTGACTGAAGTGAGTTAGAGGGAGAGGGACAGACCTAGAATGATCACACTCATTTGTGGGACATAAGATAACAGTATGAGAATAATACCCAGAGATGGTAGAAAGGAGGGACAGGAGGGCTGGCCCCATGTAGGAAGATTACCACAAGTGAGGGTAGGGAGTGCATTTAGAAAAGAGAAGGGACCACTGTGGCAGTGGTAATTGGAATCGATCACTCTGGACAAGAACTGAGTGCTGAAAATATGTAAAGGGGTACACGTGATGACTTTTCAGCAACCATATTGCAACACAATGTCTCAAAAGGAAAAAAGAAGAGCGAGAGTGAGAGCGAGAGAGATTCTGCCATAGAGGCAGGCTGGAGGGATGAGGGAGACGTGGGTGCTGGGAAATACACTGATAAGGGATTGGTGTTGGAACATAGTATAACTGAAACCCAATCATGATCAACTCTATAACTGTGTATCTAATGGTGATTAAAATTTTTTTTTAAATTGTATTATCTGATGATGCATATTTGGTTGAGCAATTTAGAACAACTTAAAACTGTTCATCATTAGCGCATGGTTATGAAAACCTGGTTTTAATTGTTTTCTCCTACTTGGTTATTTTAAATTTCAGGTTCTAGAAACATTTGTTTGAAATATTAATATAAGGTTGTTATAAGGACTAATATGAAATGTTTAACTACTGAGGATTTAATATCTGGCAAATACTAAGAGCAAATAGGGAGTTAGCAATCTTATTTTTTCTTATTACTCCTGTAAAGGTTTTTAGGAAGTCTGGTTTTACTTGCATGTTAAGCAATGAGAGGAAACCGTTGGCAAATACATATTACGTACATACATGTAATGCTATATGCTCTGTTACCTGTTTTCTCTTTTAAACTACTTGACCATTGACAAAGGAACTTTAAATTCACTATTTTATCTCCTGGTTGTGGAACAGCTCCTGATATAGTAGGAGCTCAGTATTATATTTGTTAAAAGAATGAATGATGAGCAGGAGTCCATCATTACAGCGGGCATAGCACTTACCTTGCACGTAGCCAACCTGGGTTCAATCCCTGGCACCCTTTATAGTTCCTTGAGCCCTCCAGGAGTAATCCCTGACTATAGAGCCATGATTAAGCCCTGAGCAATGCTGGTGTGACCCAAAAACAAACAAAAAAAGAGCGACTAGAGCAATAGTACCACAGATAATGCTTTTCCTCGCATTATGCCAATCAGGGTTGGATCCCCAGCACCCCATATAGTCCCCTAATACCCCTACCCTCAAACCCCAGAAATAATTTCCGAGTGCAGAGCCAGGAGTAAGTCCTTGAGCATGGTCAGGTGTGCCACCTGCACCCCCACCCCCAATAAAAAAAAAAAAAGAATGAAAAGGAATGGCAGTAATCTCTTAGTAAAGAGAGATCTGTTTTTTTTTTTTTTCTGCAATGCTGTTCTTTTACATTTCTAAGCCTTAAACAATTCTTTCCACTGTACAGAGTGTATCATTTTCATTTGTCGTTTTATTTTTGGTGTATTTGTGGACCACACCCAGCAGTGCTTGGAGTTCAGGTGACCAGGCAGCACAAGGGATCAAATTCTAAGCTCTGCATGGAGTGCGTGCAGCCCTTTGAGTCATCTGCTTCACCCTTTAGTTCTTTATAAAGCCTCGGAAATTCATTTGAAAAAATGGTATTGTATATATGTGGTGTTGAATGGCCATATTTTGGATGATATTTGTATGCCTCTATTATCCACTTAAAATATTAGTCAACTATCATATCAATTGATTTATTTGGTTTTCACATTTTTTCTTATCTCTGTTATATTTTAGAGCGAACCTCTGTACGTTCCTGTGAAATTTCATGATCTCCCAAGTGAAAAACCTGAAAACACAAATATTGATGCTGAAAAAAGTAAGCAAAGCATAGAATTCATAACTCAAAACTGGGTACAGAGGCCGGAGCGATACTACAATGGGTAGGGTGTTTGCCTTGCACTCGGCTGACCCGGGTTCAATCCCTGGCATCTCATAAGGTTCCCTGAGCATTCATTCCTGAGTTCAGAGCCAGGAGTAACCCCTGAGTATCACTGGATGTCACTCAAAAATATAAAAAAAAAACTGGGTACATATTTTCATGGTTGAGTTACGAGTTTTTTTTTTTTTTCAGTGTTTTTAATTAGTTTTTGTTTTGTTTGGGGACTACGTGGTGGTATTCAGGGGCCATTTCTGAATCTCAGGAATGACCAGTGGTGGTGTTCTGGGGAACATACAAGGTATTGGGGATCAAACATGCAAGGCAAGTGCCTTACTGCCCGTATTATTCTTCTAGCCCCTATTTTAATTATTTTTAACCTGTCCTCAGACTTAGTAATTCAGTAGACTTACTGGGTCATTCTTCTATTCCACTGTTTAATAGCTTGACCTATATTCTGACTTTCAGAAGTTTGATGGAAAGCTTTATTATAATGGTAATCATTTCCAAATTCTAGAAATCTGTGATAGATGTAGATATTTTAAGTGAGCAGTGTCCCTTTGCAGTCGTACCATCAAGAATCTTGATCACAGAGGTGCAGCAGTTTTTCTGGTTCTTCTAATTTAATAAAGAATGTAAAGAATGTCAGTCTCAGAGTGAAGTATTACATTTATCCAAGATGTTCCCTTTCAAGAAGTGGACTTAAAGAACTTTCTGCTTGCTTGGCCAGGAAAAAAAATTTCATAAGTTTGAGTATGAGGAAACTATCCATGTACTGTTTTATACTAAGCGCCAAATAATCGTATGACAATTCTGAATTGGCAGGCGGTTGCATATGTATTTAATTACTGAAGCTTTGTTTGAGTATTGGCTCACTATTTCAAACATTTTTTTATATATGCAGATCTGTTTTTCTGTTAAGTCTTTGTTTTTTGCTTTTTTGGGTCACACCTGGCGATGCTCAGGTGTTACTCCTGGCCCCGCACTCAGGAATCACTCCTCACGGTGCTCAGGGGACCATATGGGATGCTGGGAACCAAACCCGGGTTGGCCACATGCAAAGCAAACGCCCTACCTGCTGTACTATCGCTCCAGCCCTTGTTAAGTCTTTTGAATAAGCAAAACTATCCCTGCTTATAGGACTCTAGCTTTTTGTTGACTGTCCTAGTCTGATAGAGATGGATTAAATATTATGTGCTCAGTAACTTAAAGGTGGGGATTATAAAAAATAATAGCATAGTATTAATAATTAAATATTAATCACTAATAATATTTAGTGATTTGTGTTATGCTTTTCTTTTTAAGCTCCCAAAAAGTCACGTGTAAGGTTCAGTAATATCATGGAGATTAGACAGCTTCCATCAAGCCATGCATTGGAAGCTAAGTTGTCACGCATGTCATATCCTACTGTGAAAGATCAAGAATCATTATTCAAAACTGTGGGGAAACTAACTGCAACTCAAGTAGCAAAAATTAGCTTTTTTTTTTGCTTTGTGGTAAGTGTTTTGAATATTTTTGGAATTTGACTTATAGGAAAATATGCCATTGGGGTATAAAATTGTTCAGTTACATTTTCCTTTAAGGAAACTCTTGATCATTTTTAATGCATTACTCCTAATAAGCCATGCAAAATAAATTATTTAGGACCTACAGGCTTGGGTGATAGTAGGAAAATTTGAAATAATGGTGGTGGGAAGGTGTTATGAAGGTGGGATTGGTGTTGGAATGTTGAATGTAATAAATTATTGTGAAATACTTTAAAATTGGGAGGAAAAAATAATAAAGACAGAGCTCAAGTGAGAAAAGGCTGCCAGGGAACAACAGTATTTAGGTTATTTTTTAAATACATAGCATAATTTAAGTCCTTCATGAAATTTGTTATTAAGATTTGCTCATTTAAACACACACAGTTTTCTACATAATAATTTCAGTATTTTATTATATTTTGTCTTTGTATTTGTAGAATTTTAGTAAAGCTATCATTTCTTATTGTCAAAACTTAAGCAATAAATGTTCAATGTTATTTTCAAATGATAATAAATGTTCGATGTTATTGTCAAAAAATTATTTAGTTTGCTTAATCATAACTTTAAAACTTATGCTTGAAATCATTTAAAAGGAGTATTAAAGTTAATAAATGTCATATTTCAAAGAATAGCACGAAATGACGCTGCAGCTACTGATATATCTAGAGCCTAGCATTTCCACATGGTCAAAATAATGCATTGCGTTACTCTGATATTTATGTAGTGGCCAGGAAGGATAAAAGTTTCCTATATGTGCTGATTTCAAGTAACTTTTGCAGGTGTATTTAACATTCATGTAAAAGTGATTGTGTATTTTAGAATGTACTCATACCAAATATTTCTATAAAATTTAATGTGATTTTACTGCTATCATCTATTATTTCACTTTGGGGGAGCTTCACAAGCAGTGCTCAGGAAACACCTGGGGGCCCTTTCCTGCAACTCTTGACCAGCCAGGCCAGCTGTTCAATGTGAGGGCCTGAGGAGGTGTTGCTGCTTGGGTCCTGCAGTGCTACACCCATCCGTGTTGTTGGGATCATATGTATAGTGCCAGGAATCATCGCGGTGCTATTTAGAGTCTCCATTGCTACACTCAGCAATGATGATCAGGGGACCATGTAGTGCCAAGGAAGGAACCAGGCTTGGCTGCATGCAGCACACACCCCTTAAGCCTTGTGTTATCTCTTTGGCCCTATCTGTTGTTTTAATATGGAAACTGAATAATAATGCATGTTTCACATAGATGGTTAAAATATTTGGGAATAGATTGGAATTAGAGATGTCTAGAGTAGTGAAATTCTGAAACTTAGGAACTGGAGAGGTCGTATCCTAGGTAGGGCATTTGTCTTCCATGCAGCTGATCCTGGGGTCATATGGGCCCCAAGCCCACCAGGAGTGATCCCTGATGAGAGCAGAGCCAGGAGTAAATCCTGAGCACCTCTGGGTGTGGCCTAAAGAGCCAAAACTAAATAAAAATGAATTTCAGTATATAAGTGTATATACTGAAGATATACATTTAATTTGGATTAGTATGTGCGTTAATAAAGATAGATATTATATATGTGAATTAGCCAAATAAGGGTTATTTAAGATTTAAGATTTTTGATGGCATGTTTAAACATAAGCTAATACAATGCTAATGTCACCATTTTAGTTTGATTATAAGGTTTTGCTTCACAATGTTAGCATGTACTCATAACAAATATTTCTACAGAATTCAATGTGGAACCCATTTTGTTTATTTTTTGTCTTAATAAGTAAGCTCTATTTAATAATCTGATTAATTCTACTGTGCAAATCCTATCCTTGATAGCTCCAATAATTACATCTCCATACTTATATGTAAAGGCGCATCTATTTCTGTTATACTTTTGGTTGTGATAGATATTTGCTTTTAATGAGTATAGGGTTCAACTAAGATTATTAATTATATATTACTTGATTTTCAAAGGATACTCAGGTGAGGCAGAGCAAAAGCATCTATATGCTAAAGATATTAGAGAAGGCAAAGTGATAAAACTCAAATTCAGTGAGTAATGTGGTAGATAAGCTGGCTGGGTAATGGAATGATTTAAAGGCAGAAAGTTAGTTCAGGTGATAACTCATTTCTAGGCAAACTGGCTGTGTTGCAGAAAGGGAAACCTAAGTTATATTGTCTACTGTCAATTAAAAGGGGTACTTTTTCATAGACGAAGCTAATTTTTTGCAAGCTCGAAGCTCTGAAAGATTACATTGTTCTTATATAAAAAGGTATAACTGATTTAGTCCCTAGATGCAGCTTTTTAAAAAACAAATGTATCACTGGTAAAATGTATCACTGTAAAAATGGCTATTTTGGAGCTGGGCACAAAGGACTGGTAGAGTGTTGGCTTTGCATTCAGAACTCCTGGGTTAAGTCTCGGCACTGTGTGTTCCCCCGATCACCACCTGGAATGACCCCTGAACACCAAGCCAGGAGGTGCCCCCAAGCACTGTTGGCTGTAGCCCCCAAACCAAACCAGGCAAGCAGAATTGCCTAACTGGTTTAAAATGTACAGTTCAGGATCATTCCATCTATTTGCACGTCCTGCAGTCATTTCCATTGTCCTTCAGCAAAACTGAAACTCATATCCATGAAATGGGAACTTCCTTTGCCTCCTCTCCCAGCTTCTGACAGTCTTCATTCTACTTTCTGTTTCTGACTACTCGAAGAACTCAGAGGAGTGGAGTTGTACAGTAGTTTTTTTTTTCTTTTGTTACTGGCGAATTTCATTTAGCTTCATGTCCTCAAGTTTCATTCCTGTAGCATATTATTCCTTTTTTTAAAAGGCTGAATAATATTCCACTGTAGATGCCCCATTTTGTTTATTCATTCTTATGTTGATGACCTGTTGGTACAGGCCAGGAGTTCAGTGAGAGGGCTCACGTGTGGTGCTGCTTTACGGGACTGCTGCTTGCAAGGCATAATGACTTACTAGACCCTGTGCTGTCTCTCTGGCCCCCAGAAACCTACTTTCGTTAGAGAGGCTTCATATTATTCAGTAGGAACAATGTTCTAGTGGTGCTTGCAGGAACTGTATGTTGTGCCACGGATTGGATTGGGGTCAGCCACATGCAAGGCAAGTGCCTAAACTCTGTACCCTCTCTGAAGCCTCTTCAATTTCAGTTTTTAAACATAGCAATTTAGACTACCACATTTCACTTGTTCAGTTATCACATATAGCTAATGGCCAATACAGTGGGTAGTTCAAGTTAAAAGGAGTGATTACTGTATTTGCCAGTCTCCTTGAATATCTTTAACTCATTGGCATTTATGTTCAAATTCTTTCTGTAAAATATCATTTAGATCAAATGGGCTTTTTAATAATGTTAAAAGGGGTGGTAACTCATGGAATAATTGATATATAAATTAATATATAAATGTTAATTTTCAGTCAGTGGTTATCCTCAGTTCTGGACTAATAAAGACAAACTTGTAAAAAGAGGGTTTTTTTTTTTTAAGTAATTGTTATGGTGGGAGGGGTGGTAATTGAGATGAGTCTTTTTTATGTGATTAGATTGCCTTGGTTTTGAGAACCAAATAATGGCGTTAGGAAGATGTAGAGAATGAAAATGTATTTCTGGAAAAGGTTTATAGCTAAAGATGAGCCTTTATAAGAATTAAATGCTTGTAATATAAGTGATTTTTTTGTTTATTTTGTTTTTTGGGCCATACTCAGCTGTGCTCAGGGCTTACTCCTGACTGGTTTGTCAGGGATCGATCATCGAACCCGGATCAGTCACATATAAGGCAAGCCTTATACACTGTGCTGTCTCTCTGGCCCCTGTTCTTTGAAAAAAAAAATTTTTTTTTTTTTATTTGTTGAATCACTGTGGGAAAGTTTACAAAGCTTTCAGGTTTAGGTCTCAGTCATGCAAATATCAAACACATTTCCCTTTACCAATACTTATTTTTTACCATGAAGAACCCCAATAAAACCCCACCCCCCACCCCTCCCCGTCCCTGTGAGGCAAATGAATTCTAGTTAACACTCTATCTGCTTTGATTAGATTCATTGTTTCAGTAAAAGATTCACCACCCCCAAATCAGAAATGCTGAAAAAGCATTGTGAAGTGATTTGCTTTCTACAGCTGGGTTCAAGAATTAAATGTTGGTTTTGGATTTCTGCTATTTTACTTATTGACTCTGGAAGTATTTCTACTGAAAGTCAGATAGTTAAGAAATTGGTTTCTGTGCTCTGGAGTCGTGGCTGTGCTGGAGAGCCGCTAGTGGGGGGCAACTGGTGGCCTCGGTAGGGCGTGAAGGGTGGACCGAAACGCCCCCCTTCCCATGAGGTTTTAGTCGCCCTCACACCCCCAGCTCATACCTGCTGTCCACAAGGCTCCCATGTGGCCGCCATCCTTCTTTCCAGAGAAGAGAGGGCGAATGGGGCAACACCCTTTCCCCTCCGGCAGACTTGATGGCCTGGATTAACGCATAGTCCGTTCACTTTTCTGCTCCAAGCTGCTGGGTTCTGCATTAAGTCCTTGTGCTTCTGGGGCTGTGGCCATGCTCCAAACTTAACTCTGATTTTTAGGGAGAAAGGTTGGGTGGTTTACTTCCCATTGATCACTTTGTATATAGAGAGATGTCGCGCGGCCGCTTATGCGGCCGCGCGGTTTTGAGAAAAAGTCCTAGTTCCCACATACTCAAGCTGTGCTTGTAGAGGCTTTTGGTCACCGGGGTTCCATCTGGGGGAGGCGGGATGCGGCACCTAGCCCATCTGGGACTTGCCGGTGATCTCAGCTCTTTTTGGAACCTGTTTTTTTTTCCTCCGGGATCTGTGGTTCCCGCGCCCTCCATGTGGTCCTTCTCTTAGGCTGTATGTTTTAAAGATGGCCTCGCCTTTTCCTTCCGAAAAAATTTTTTATCTTGTATTTTTTTAAAAAAATTGTTATTTTGTAATTACAGTCACCATAAGATAGGGGTTTGAAAAATAAAAATATTTAAATAGTGAATTTGGGATTTTTAAACTTACTGATATTCCAAGTTCTTCCCCACATGGGGAGTTCCTTTTTCTTTCTCTTCTACTTCCCAATAAACTTTTCTACTTTTTTTGGAAAAAAAATTTTGTTTTGTTTTGTTTGGGGGCTACACCCAGCAGTGTCCAATGCTTTCTCCTAGCTCTGTGCTCATAAATCATTCTTGAAGGCCTTGGGGGTACATATGAGGTTCCAGGGATCAAACCTGGATCAGCTGTGTGCAAGGCAAACACTCTACCCACTGAACTATCACTCCAGTGCCTTAGATGTTGGATTTTTAAGGACAGTGGGTCAAGAAAACAATCACTATAAGCATTATCCATCCATATAGTCTCCAAAAGATAAACTCCATTTTCTGCCTTTTTTTTCCAACACTTTACTTATAAGCAGATTGTGATTCCTGGATCCATTTATGCTTGATATTGTATTTTTTAAAAAAATTGTTATTTTGTAATTACAGTCACCATAAGATAGGGGTTTGAAAAATAAAAATAAAATATAAATATTTAAGTATTTTCACCAGATGCTACCACATTTTCTTATTCTGTTAGTCAAGTGAAATTATCTAGAAAGTGAAGTCCACTTGCCAGATGGAATCAGAATCATTTTTTTGTTTGGTTTGGTCTGACTTCGTTTTGTTTGGGGGACAGCCGTGCTAAGGCTTAGTCCTGTCTCAGTGTTCAAGGATAACTCATGGCAGTGCTCAGAGGATCAAACCTAGCTTGGCTGCATTCAAGGCAAGTGCCTTACTCACTGTTCTGTCTCTCTGGCCCTGGATCAGAATCACTTTGGCAGGATTTCACTTCATAGACCTAACAGCTCTGTTACCTTCAGTCAGTGTTGTCTGATTAGATGTTCTCGCTGCTTCTTTGAAAAGTAAATCCTAATGATTATACTACTTATTTATCTACAAGTTCTGAGAGAGATCAAGAGATGTCCTTCCATTAATAGAGACAACTCATTCTTTGGTGGAAATGATTATCCATTCATTCTGTTTAACACAAGCAGTTTATTTGATTGACTGGGCAGTCTGCACTTGGTATATAAATTACTTACATGTATGCACCTGGAGACTTATTCTATAATATAATAGTGGCATGTCTTGAAATATTCCTAGTGTCCACCAACAGAAAGAGTATCTGATAGGAGAGGAAATAAATAAACTTTGGAGATAATTACATTTTGAACTCTGTCTAAAGGAATCTTATTTTATGTTCTTTAGATCAAAGTAGTTGCAGGGTTGGTAATACAAGAATATTGTCTCTTAGATGAGCATATAAAAAGAAAGGAAACATTTTTATAGCTGGCAAACCCCCTTTATAATATTATGAGATTATTTATATTGTGTTTTCATATTAATCAGCAGAGAAACAATTGTACATATACACAAAAAAGTTCAGTTTTCTTGTATGTTATAAAATTTCCTAAATGAATATAACTTATTATCTAGCTAACTTCACCTATCCATTCTCACAGACATTATTATTCAGTTGAATGCTTAGCCTGCTATTTTTGGAATGTTTGAGACTTCCCCAAACTTAAATTTCACTCATATGAACTTAATGTAGTGCTAGCATGGATAAAGAAAATTTTGAATTTGGTTTTTGTTTGGCACGTTTAATATTCAGTGTGTTTGATATTCAAGAAATGTTTGATATTCAGTTTCTCTGAATAAAAGAAAAACCTAAATGTATATATTTAATCGGTGACTAACAAAATTTTCTTTTCTTCGATATGTGCTGCCTCTCAAGCAGTGTTTAGGGACCCAGGGGCCACTTCCAGCAGTACTTGGCAAAATGAGCTGGAAAGTTCAATGCTAAAACCAAGTGGAACCCCAGTGGTTCTGGGGCTACCATGGTGCTAGTGGGGTACCCGGGGGTCCTTATACCCCTGAAGTATCTCCTCAGCCCCTAGTTTTTAATTTATTGAATAACAGATATCTTAGATCTGATAATAAATGACTAATTTTGGGATGGGAGAATTCAGTATAAAGAAGCTTTTAAAACCTTTTCTAACTCTTTAGAAGGAAAAAGGTGATACTGTAAAATTGTAATGACAAATCTAAACATGTGATCTAATAGGTTTCACTTTGTTTTCTATTTTTTAGTGGTTTTTGGCAAATTTTTCATATCAAGAAGCACTTTCAGACACACAGGTTGCTATAGTTAATATTTTGTCTTCAACTTCTGGTAAGAAAATTGTCTTCAAATTTTCTGCATTAATAAATCAAGGTTAATTTTTGATATATATGTGTGTATATAGTTTAATCTCATAACTTACATTTCATTCTAATGTACAGCCTATTGAACTATTTCTTAACTTCATAGTTTCATTCCATAGCCTTGTGCTGTTTACTTACTTTCAGATATTTTACAGTAGATTTTTTTATGAAATAATATGTTGAAATTTTTATTGGCAGACTATTTTAGCTTTTCCTTTCACATATCCTTTTAAAAGATCTTTTTCTAGATCTTTTGGTTAAATGTAATTGCTCTTTCAGAACTATAATTTGTCCTGTGAAAGGTATTTTATGTTTTAAATTAAATCACCTTTTATGTCAGGAAGATAAGCCTTTTGAAGATGTAAAAGTAACTAGTGCACATGCTTGATTAAGATGAAGTCAGAATGTTATTCAAACTGCTTAATTTAGCTGTTTTAATAGCACTATACGTTTAGGGGCTATTTTGTGTATTTTAAAACTTCCAGTCTTGGTAACTATAGTTTGTTTCTTAGCTTTTTCCCAGCATTTAAAAAAAAATGGTAAGCTTTGTTTAAAAAAGTTTGGTATATAATTTATTACTTAAGCTAACAATTTGATAGTAAATCACTTTGACAATTATTTTAGCTAATCTTTCTGTTTAACTCTCTTTCTCCCATAGGACTTTTTACTTTAATTCTTGCTGCAGTGTTTCCAAGTAACAGTGGAGATAGATTTACTCTTTCCAAACTATTAGCTGTAATTTTAAGGTAAGAATATAGCTATTAGCTAGTTTATTCTGCTTAGAATTGTGATGTTTAAGAACTTTTGGATAGTGATATAGGATTGTTTGTATTTATATAGCCAAAGAAAAGTGAGGACAAATGAAAATTTTAAGTGGATGTGATATTCGGCTTCTTGTCACATCCTAGACTAGTTTTCCAGATTTTCCTGGGGAAAGTAGATAGACCCAAAGACAGTTTTGAGCCTCTTTTGTGATCTTACAGTCGTATACACACTTTCCTTGCATCCTTTCCATCCTGGTTCAAATCCTAAGCACCATAAATAGCTCCTGAGCTTCATCTGTGTGATTTCTGGTCACAGAACTAGGTGGTAAGCCCTGAGCATTGCTGGGTATAGCTCCCAAACAAAGCCAAAAACAAGTTAAAAGCTCTTTAGTGTGTTTCCTTTTTCTGTAATAAGTTGCCCATTTTGTTTTGGTTTTACTTCTGTATCACAAAACAAAGCATAGTCTTATTGTCTGATTATCTTATCTGAGGTGATCATTCAGTTAGTTTCTTTATGATCCATTTGACAATTTTGTGTCACTGCATAGTATCAATATTGTTGATTTCTATATTTAAATACTTTATTTTTTATTTAACTTTGTGCATATTTTATCTTCCCTACTGGAACTGTAAGCACTTGAAAGCCAAAGTCTTACTTTGTGTTGCTTTGTGTCATCAAAGGTCCAGTATAGACTTGAAGTACGCAAAGTATTCAAAAGAGATTCATTTGTTGGTTTGAAATAACTGCTTTGTGAGAATCAAATCAGAGAAGGTAGCAGAATTATTTCAGTGGAGAAAAATGTTTCTTATTTATAAGAATGTTGCAGCTATAAGAACTGCATTTGAATCAGAGATTCAGGAAAATCAGAGGAAAAAAATCAGGAAATTTACTTAAACTTTCTACGAGGATTTCATCAATGGACAATGATCATGGTCATGGTTCTCCAGTTGTTCATCAATTTGCTCGAGCGGGCCCAGTAGAGTCTCCATCATGAGACTTGTTACTGTGTTTGGCATATTGAATACGTCACGGGTAGCTTGCCAGGCTTTGCCGTGCGGGCGAGATACTCTCGGTAGCTTGCCGGGCTCTCTGAGAGGGGTGGAAGAATTGAACCCAGCTCGGCCGGTCCGGCTGCATGCAAGGCAAACACCCTACTGCTGTGCTATTGCTCCAGCCCAGACAATGATAATCATGTCTTTTATTATTTTTTCTTAAGTGTGCTTGACTTGTGGTTCAGAAAAATTAATTTTTGCGTGTATTTATTTTTCTCAAGAATACTATTTTGGGGCTGGAGCGATAGCACAGCAGGTAGGGCATTTGCCTTGCGCACAGCTGACCCGGGTTCGATTCCCAGCATCCCATATGGTCCCCCGAGCACTGCCAGGAGTAATTTCTGAGTGCATGAACCAGAAGTAACCCCTGTGCATCGCCAGGTGTGACGCAAAAAAAAAAAAAGAAAAGAAACCTATTTTAAAGATTATTTTAATACTTTGGAAATAACCGTGTTTATCCAATGAAGTTTAACTTTTTAAATTATAATAAGAATTAGGCGACCAGAGAGGTAGCTCATTAGGCTAAAAACATGCTCTGCATATAGGAGGCCCAGTTTATTCCCAGGCACTGCATATAGTCAGTCCCCCGAGACCTGCCAGGAGTGACCCCCATGCAACTAGCTGGGAGTAGCTCCTGAGCACCACACGGTGTGGACCCCTTTGCACCTTCTCCAGAATGATTTGACATGGCAGCAGTCGTTTACTTATTTTGGAAGGGAGGGTGGTTTGGACTATCCCTGCCAGTGCGTAGGGGCTACTCCTGGTGAAGTTTGGAAGACCATGCAGTGCAGGGATTGAACTAAGGTCAGCCATATATAAGATAGTCCCTTAAATCTTGTCCTATAATCTCTGGAGCCATGGCAAGAATTGTGAAAAAAAAAAAAAATCCTGGTAATCTAAAAAAGTCTCATTTTTTTTAAGTGTAGAGATAAAATAGAGCGTAACTTGGAGTCACACTTCCTATATTAATACAACTTCTGAGATGTTGAACAAAATTCTTCTCTGTATGTTTTCTCATCTATATATTGGGAGTTATAATTAAAGTATTATTACAGCATTTGTCTCTAAAGATTATACTGAATAAAAAACTTACATACAGTGCTTCACACAATGTCTCGTACACAGTAGTCACTGTCACTGTCCTCCCATTGATCATCAATTTGCTCGAGCAGTTCCAGTAGCATCTCCATTGTGAAACTTGTTGTTACTGTGTTTGGCATATTGAATACGTCACGGGGAGCTTGCCAGGCTTTGCCATGCGGGTGAGATTCTCTCAGTAGCTTGCCAGGTTATCCGAGAGCGGTGGAGGAATTTGAACCCGGGTCGGTCGGGTTGGCCGAGTACAAGGCAAACGCCCTATTGCTGTGCTATCCCTCCAGCCCCACAGTAGTACACAAAATTATTTAATTGAAAGATATGAATATTTAATAATGATTAGATTTGGCTTATGATGGCTTGGTTTTATAAAGGAAAAATTAATCTTCATATTGCTTTTAACTTTTGGTTTTTGGGTCATATCTGGCAATGCCCAGGAGCTACCCTTTGCTCTGTACTCAGGAATAATTCCTGGTGGTGCTCATTTCTGGTGGTGCTTGGGGTACTTTATGAAATGCGAGGCATCGAACCTGGGTGAGCCGTGTATAAGGCAAATGCCCTACCCACTTTACGATCAGTTTCCTTTCTTACTACTAGGTATTCCTTTCTTCGTATTCCTTTCTCTATGGTAATTGGTTTTTCTGACCATTAAGTTAAATAATTAGGGGCCGGAGAGATAACGTGGGTAGGACACTTGCCTTGCATGCAGCAGACTGGATTCTATCCCCAGCATCTCGTACAGCCCCCAAAGCACCACCAGAAGTAGTTCCTGAGTGCAGAGCCAGTTATAATCCCTGAGCACCACTGGGTGTGGCCCAATAAGTAACTTTTTTTTAAATGGCCAAATAATTAGGCTGATTTGTCTTTCTTAAAGTTAGTTTGCATCTGCTTGGAAAATCCATAATTTATAAAATGCATAAAAATGGACAATAAGCTTCATGAGGACCGAATTTTCTCTATTGTAAGGGCCCACTGTGTAACTCAGTAACAAATGAATTATCTTTAGTTTCTCTACATCCTTAATCTAGTATTATTTTTTATCTATTAAAATAGTGCTTTTATTATTAAGAATTTAAGGGCAATTTAGGTTTTAGCAAATAGAAGAAATTAGGGCCAATGTCTAGTTTCTATGACGTAATGTATAGGTAGCTTCAGAAGATCGGAAAAGAATAACAAACACGTTAATTCTTAATTAAAAAGTGGTAGCAGGTAAAAGGATTTATCTCTAAAAACAGATCATTTCGATCTCATCTGTATAATTTGGGCTGAATTACTTCATTTTCTGTTTTTTTTTTGTATTGGTTTTTTCATGTATAGAATGATAACAGAAATAATAGTAGCAATAATATCTTTACAAGGGAATATTCTGTCCTTTTGAGGATTAAACTAGTTAATGTGAATGTAGCACTTTACACTATTTTCATCATTATATATTATTGTGAAATCACTAAATTCTTTGACATTTTTACCCAGATTTGATACTGGTCTTGATAACTCGCAAAAAAAAAATTTATTTTTTTTATTAGCTCTTTTAAGGAATTTTATTATTTTGTTTCTCACTAATGATTATTGTTCTTCAGTATTGGAGGAGTTGTGCTGGTAAATCTGTCGGGGTCTGGAAAGTCTGCTGGGAGAGATACAATAGGTAAGAACTTGACTACTTTCTTTCTGTAGACAAGAATGTTTGGTACATATCATCACATACACAAAGAGTAAGCACAGATTCTAATAAGACATTTCTCTCAAAATAAACTTTCCAAAAAATAGTTCAGCGTTATCATAGCTTTCATTCCTGTTCTCAATTAACTATATATATAACTGTAGCCTAGGGCTGGAGCGATAGCACAGCGGTAGGGCGTTCGCCTACAAGCGGCCAACATGGCCGACCCGAGTTCGATTCCTCCGCCCCTCTCGGAGAGCCCGGCAAGCTACCGAGAGTATTCGATATGCCAGACACAGTAACAACAAAGTCTCCAATGGAGACGTTACTGGGCCCGCTCGAGCAAATCGACGATCAACGGGAGGGCCTTTACCTTTACCTTTTACTGTAGCCTAGTTATAAAAAACATGAATTAATATTGATTATAGTATCAGTTCCAGATAGCACAGCAGGTAGGACGTTTGCCTTGCACGCGACTGACATGGCCAACCCGAGTTTGATTTGATTCCTCCTCCCCTCTCGGAGAGCCCGGTGAGCTACCTAGAGTATCTTGCCCGCACAGCAATGCCTGGCAAGCTACCCGTGACATATTCAATACGCCAAACACAGTAACAAGTCTCACAATGTTCTGGGCCCACTCGAGCAAATCGATGAACAATGGGAGGACAGTGACAGTTATAGTATTATTATCTTCACTGTAGACTATTTTTACATTTGTCATTATTTTGATTACTGTCCTTTTTCTGTTCCAGGATTACTTGTGTATAGTTACTGTGCTCCTCTAATTTCTTTTGATCTGCAACTTCCCTCAGTCCTTTTTAATAAATAATACTCTTCAGTTATTTTATTAAATGTTCCCCAATTTAGGGATATTTATATTTTCTTATAATAGAATTTATGCTGTGCATTTTGGTAGGAATATCATGGCTTTGGGATCAGACAATAGAGCGGGTAGGACACTTACCTAGTATGCGAGTGATCCAGTTCTATTCCTGACATCCAATATGGTCCCTCGAGCACCACCAGGAGTAATTCCTGAACGCAGAGCTAGGAGTAACCCCTGAGCACTGCAGTGGGTGTCCCCCCTGCACCTTCCCCCAATATTATGGTTTCTATATTGTGTCCTGGCCAGTTCTTTATTATCAGAAAGGATGTGGCACTGATTTGTCTTAAGTTAATTCTAAGTTATTATCTGTCAGATTATTAAAGTATAATAAAACTGCCAGTTTCTCTTGTAATTATCATTTTGATGCTTGCCTTTCATAGTTAATTGTGGTAAAAATAACTCGTTTCTGATTCATTGTTTAGATTTAACAAAAAGCTAAAGTAATTAACCATAACCTAGCTTAATGGTTTTTCTCTGGTTACTTTCCCTAACTGTTTGAACTTCATTGAGTAGTACAGTGCTTTTCCTACAGTTCTCCTGGTTATTGCCTACAAGGCTCTGAGTTGAACCTACTACTCCACTTACCACCTAGAGTAACTAAGATATAATATAAAGTAAAACAGTATGTCTATTTGGAGTGTGTGTGTGTGTGTGTGTGTGTGTGTGTGTGCGCGCACACACACACGCACGCATGCACACATGTGTGAAGTTTTATAGAGAGGCTTTCAATTTGCTATTTTAAAAATAACACTTAGTTTTATTGCCTTTGGGCATTTGATATTCCCCTATGAAGTTCCTTTGTATCCCACATCCGAGGGAGCTCATGCTAAGTCTGTTCCTCTCTCTCTGGCTGCTTTCACTCAACATGATACTCTCCAGATCCATCCACGTAGCAGCAAATTGCATGACTTCATCTTTTCTTATGGCTGAATAGTGTTCCACTATGTATATGTACCATAGCTTCTTTATCCAGTCAGCTGTTTTTGTACATTTGGGTTGTTCCCATAGTTTGGGCTCTTGTGGATAGTGCTACAGTGAACATAGGAATATGGATGTCTTTTTTGGATTGTGCTTTTGGGCCTTTGGAGTATATTCCCGAGAGTGTAATTACTGAGTCTTGTGGAAACTCAATTCCTAGTTTTTTGAGGAAAATCCATATTGTCTTTCAAAACGACAGGCCCAGTCAACATTCTCACCAGCAGTGAATGAGGGTCTCTCTTCCCCCATATCCTTGCCAGCACTGCTAATTCTAACTCTTTTTGATGAGTGCTAGCCTCTCTGGTCTGAGGTAATACCTCATTGTTGTTTTATTTGCATTTTTCTGAGGATGAGTGACATAGAGCATCTTTTTCACATGCCTTTTGGTCATTTGTATTTCTTCTTTGAGAACATTTCTGTTCATGTCGGATCTTCTGATAGGGTTGGATTTTTTTTTTCTTATTAAGTTCTACCAGTGCTTTATGCACCTTGGATATTAACCCTTTATCAGATGCATCGCTTGTATCACTTATCATCCCATTGCCCATAGATTTGCTCAAGCAGGCGCCAGTAACGTCTCCGTTCGTTCCTGCTGCGTGCTAGCGTAGCCCAGTGACGTCTGCCCGCTCCAGGAACACGGAGAGCATCAGATGAGTGGTGGACAAATAATTTCTCCCTATCTGTGGGCTGTCTTTGTATTCTGATCACCATTTCCTTTGAGGTGCAGGAGCATATCCAAAGCTGAAGCACAGAAGAACTGGTCTTCGGTAAGCTTCGGTAGGAAGCTTGCCACTGGGACAGGAGGGATAAGTTGGGGACAGGAACACGAGCACAGTGGTGAACGGGAAAAGTACCTGGCACAGAAGCAGACTGGGGATGGGAGAAGAAATGGAGGTGTTGGTGGAGGGCAGTAGACACTGATGAAGGGACTGGTGTTGGAATACTGTATCCCTGAAACTCAGTCATAAATAATTTTGTAATTCATGGTGATTCAATTAAAATTTTTTTAATAATTCTTCAGTTTAAAAATATTTATACAATAGGGTTGGGGATATGGCTTATGACTTAAGTGGTTGAGCATGTGCCAGAGCCTGAATTCTGGCCCCGATATTTTATGGCTCCCTAAGTAACCTCTGAGTATAGTTTTAGTTCCCTTTACCCTTCTTCTAAATCCTGCTGAGTGTGCCCTGGGTGGCCCCTGAGCATTGCGGGCCACACAACGCTGAACTGTCAGGCCAGGTATTACTGAGAGTGGCCCTCGAACACCAAACACAGCTGCTGGAGGTCTTTAAAAGTACAGTAACAGTGATAAAAATCAATTTATCAATATATAAAATATTGGACTTCTGGAAAATAAATTAAAATTTGAATGTGGAAACTTTTTTCACTTAGTTATTTATAGGCTGTCTTAGAGGGAAAGCCATTTTTAGAGGGAATAAATTTCTCTTATAAACGTACCATAAGTCTTACGTTATGAATATATTTTAGAATATTTAAATGTATAGCTTTTAGTTTTAAGTTTTTTAATTTTAATCAATATGTGATCAAAAATGAAGACACTCCAAATAACAGGTTGTGTATCTGTAATAAAATTAAATAATCTAAAATAGATTATAAGTAAAGGGCTGGCCGCCTCGGAGCTTTTTGGAAAGCCAGGTATGAGCCAGCGGTGACGGGGCAGCTGCAACCTCATGGGAAGGGGGGTATTCCCGACTTGTCCTTCACGCCCTACCGAGGTCACGAGTTGCCCCCCCCCCCGCCCCCCCCCCGATGAGCAGCTCTCCAGCACAGCCATGGCTCCAGAGCCACAGAAACCAATCTCGTAATTATCTGGCTCTTGGCAGAAATCCCTCCAGACTTAATAAGTAAAATATCAGAAATCCAAAATCGCGCAGCCGCTATTGCAGCCGCACGACATCATATGGTTCTCATAACCAGCTGTAGAAAACAAATTATTTCACAATGCCTTTTCAGCAGTTCTGATTGTTGGGTGTAAACGCTAAACAATAATGGTGTATCTTTTGTCAAAATAATGAATGTAATCAAAGTAGATAGAGAGTTAAGTAGAATTCATCTTCCTCACAGGTGTTGGGAGTGGTGGGAGGGAGGGTATATTGGGGTTCTTGGTGGTGAAAAATAAGTACTGGTGAAGGGAAATGTGTTTGATCATTGCATGACCGAGACTTAAATCTGAAAGCTTTGTAACTTTTCCCACAGTGATTCAGTAAATACAAAAAAAAAAAAAAGATAATATTTAAATAACTAAACTAGTGCACATTTCAGAAAGAAATGTATAGAACTTTTAGTACTATCCACAATGAATAAATAAAAACAAATGTTTAAAGGTGAAAAAAATAAAATAGATTACAGGTAGGGTGAAATTAATGGAATAGAAAAGACTTTTGTAGCAGAGGTGGCACTTTAATAAGACATTGAAGATGATGTTGAGCAAATACTAAAAATGACACATTGTGGCTCTATCCCCGGCATCCATCATTCTAACTATGATATGTCTTGGAGTTTTTGTTAGGGTCTCTTTTAGCTGGCACCCTTCGGGCTCCTTGAATCTGAATGGCTGGGAAGTTCAGCTCTGGGAACTTTTCAGCAATGATTTGTTTAACCGTGCCTTTTTCATTGGGATTGTTTCCCTGACCTTCTGGTAGTCCAGTGATTCTAAGTTGTTCCTTTTGGAATCCATCTCCTAGGACTCTGATTCGCTCTAGAGCTATTTTGAGGTCTCTTGCCATTGTTTGTTTTTGTCTGTTGGCTTCGTGCAGCTGATCTCCCAGCTCACTGATTCTGTCTTCAGCTGTGGCCATTCTACCGTTGAGGGCACAGACTGAGTTTTTTATTTCGTCTACTGAATCTTTTATTCGTGACATTTCTGTGCATAGCTTCCCAATTTCTGCTCTCATTTCTTCTTGTATTTTCTCGATTGTTTCTCTCATGTTCTTTAATTTACTAGATATCTGTCTCACTGTTTCATTGAGTTCACTGGACATCTTCATGACTTCATATCTGAATTCTTTCTCAGAGAGGTCCCTTAGGTGAGTAGCACCTAATGAGGCTTCTGGACTCTTCATCATCCTCCCCTCGTGGTGGGGATTTCCGTTGTTTCTTCATGTTGGTGTGAAGGTATGGAGACTTAGATGTTACACGAGGTTGCTGGGTATGAGTAATTTACCTGTGGTTGTGTGAATGGCCACTGGCCCAAAATTAGGTCACGCCCACTTCTACAGAGGCCACGCCCCTTACGGGTACCTATACCTGGTGTGTGTGGTGGAGGGGGGGGGGGAGTACAACCTGAGGGAGGAAGAAGACCTGGCATAGCGATGGGGATGAACAGGAAGAGGCTCAGGGATGGTGAGCGTCCCCGGGTCCTAGAGGACGCCTGGTGCACGTACACAAGCAAAGCCAAGTCCTGGGTATGACTGACCTAGGGGAGGAAGAAGACCCGGCACAGCGTTGGGGACGAACAGAGCTACACATTGTGACAGGAAGAACAATATAAGCAATAGCTTAGATATAGAAAAAAAGCAATATTAAGTTGAACAGTATCAGCATCAAAAATTATTTAGGGAAAATGAGACGTATGCATTTTAAAATTAAGGTATTACATAGGTGAGTTTCAGTATTATAAAAGTGTTTGTTTATATCATGAGTTATGTGTTTTGCGTTTATTCGTATTTTCAACTCCTTCCTATACTTCTAAAGGACATGGGGGAAAGTATGGATTGGGTTTTATCTTTTTATATTTTTGTGTTCTCTTTTTTTGAAATAGTATCTGGCATATTGTTAGATTTTAAATAAGCATGTTTTGAATGAGTTTCAGAAAAAAATGCTTTAAATCCTATTGATTTTTACAGGTTCCATTTGGTCTCTTGTTGGAGCCATGCTCTATGCTGTTTATATTGTTATGATTAAAAGAAAAGTAGACAGAGAAGATAAGTTGGATATTCCAATGTTCTTTGGTAAGATTATGTTTAACTTTTTAAGGTATTTTGTATGATTTAGGATTTTGTTTTTGTATTTTGGAGGAAGTAATATTTTTTATCATATTTTAATTATCATACTCTTAATGTGATTTTTTGAAACATTACATTTTAATTCTAAACTATTAATAATTCATAATAGGCAAAATTTATTCTACTGCAGGTATATTCTCCCATGTTTTTAATAGCATATCTGTTGTATCCTTAAAAAAATATATCTGACTCATGGACTTAAAATGCAAAAATTGTCTTAGAAGGAATACTTATCTCACATTGAGGAAATAGTATTGCTTCATTGGTTTACAGCTATGCAGAACAAGAGAAATGGTTGAGACTGGATTGCACAATCTTTAATGCAATGATTCAGGCGTTTCTGGAACCAAGGAGGAATCCCCTCCCTTCTGGGTAGTCCCCGAAACCTGCATACCCAATCGCTGATATATCATAGGCCCAGCTGCACATCTCCAGAACCCCTGCTGTCTCCCCGTCCCTCCCAGCACAGCAAATGCATGGGGTAAGATGTGTTAGAAGCCCACCAACTTCAGTGAGTAAAACAGCAAAACCTCTTTGAGGCCTTTGTTTTTCAGTCTGTAAGTGTGAAACACAGTCCTCAATTATGTTTCTAGGAAGCATCACACACAAATTAACAACCGTAGACCTAAAGACCAAGTCCATTTGACTATTATCTTGATGCTCCATTACCTGCTCAAAATATTTTCCTGTTTTATCTAAAATGGACATCATGGATGTACTCTGCTATATTCTGCTCACACATTTCTATGCCCAAAGAACTCAACTTATCCCAATCCTATTTCTCAAACTCCAATCAATAGTGTCTAACATATCCTGTCACTTATAAAAAAGGCCAATCAAGCTGTAACTATATGCATGCTCTCTGATGAGAGTAAATTTGGCTATTTTTTCTGGAAAGTTTCTTTAGATAGAAATTTTTCTTCAATCTTAGGAAAGAACACTCAAAATATATTAGCATTTCATTCTGGTTTTGATGGAATTTTGTATGGTTCTAAATTATAAGACATTGAAGTGAGTTTCATATTTAAGATATATTTAGTGAATTCTGTATTTAAAAAAACATAAGTAGTCACCCAGTCTAGCAGTTTTTCAAACTCTTGGTGGTGGTGGTGATCCTCAGGTACAAATATTCAAACTATTTTTAGCAAAAGAAATAGAAAATTCATCCCTATATTTAATAGGAGCACTGCAGGTATAAAACAATGATTTCAACAAAACAGTAGTTTAAGTTAAATCAGCAAAGGAGTCCAAGCATATAACTCATCCTGTACCAGACTTAGCCAGGATCTTAAATCAGTTCAGAAGCTACTCATCTAGTTTACTTCCCTCATTTTTCAAGTAAGGGTAACATAATTGAAGTTAGACATAATTGAAGTTAGATTAAAAGAAAAACACAGAGCTATATTTTGGGTCTCTTGTTTCACATTAAGCTATATTTTGACCTTTAAGCACCAGATTTCCTTATCTGTTGAATCTTCATTTTTGTAGGGCATCTGGTCAATGTGCCCTTCTGCAATCATACAAATAAAACCATAGATTCTTTGTGAATTGATTTTAGATTAAGGAGATTTATAAAACATATTGTGTATTTTGTTTACTAAAATAAGTGATGCTAAAAAAAAAAAGTTATGAGACTCAATATACTAAAAGAATCTGAGTCCTAAAGACGAAGAACAAAGGAAAACCTTCAAATGACCCACATTTTTAATACGTAAGTACACAGACTGAAAATACTAATATGCAAATGTAAGGCATTTCCCTCTTAAACATTGACTCACTATTTTTAAGATCATAAAAGTTACTTATTAGAAAATAGTATGTAAAATATACAGTATCATAGCATGCTTTTTCTTTCTTTAAGAGGTAACTAGAGGAACAGGTCAGGGACGTTCCTGCATTTGCAAGGACCCAAGTTTTTGTTCAGACTTTTCTTTTTTTTTTCCACTATTCCTAAATTGTAGACTTAACATGGCAGCCCAGAGTAGTCATGCTTCAGAGCACACACTTTTGACTATCAAATATATCAGATTCCTTTTGCAAATAGTCTGTGTTTAGATATTTGGTGAATAACTATTTTTCTTTCTATGTTACCTTACCAGATAGCAGTTGAACTCTGGGAAGTCAGGAATTAAGAATTTTACTTTTGGGCATAGAGCAATAGTACAGCAGGCAGGACATTTGCCTTGCACACAGCCAACTTGGGGTCCATCTGCCCATCTACCACCAGGAGTAATTTCTTAGTGCAGAGCCAGGAGTTACCCCTGAGCATTACCAGGAGTATCCCCCTCCAAAAAAAAAAAAAGAAGAAGAAGAAGAAGAAGAAGAAATTTTATCCCTTTATCCCTTTTTGAACTTTCTTCCAGACTCCTACTTTAGCATAAGTTCTTCAAACATAAAATAGGATTTGAATTAGAGGGAAAAAATCATTCAGTTACATAAATAAATTAAGTTGAATGTATAAACATGCACTGTTCCTTTTTTAAATTTTAAGGACTATATTAAGGTTAACAACTCAACTTATAAATTTGGAATATTGCTACTGACTTTTGTCTCTTTTACACATATTCAGGTTTTGTAGGTCTGTTTAATCTGCTGCTCTTATGGCCGGGTTTCTTTTTGCTTCATTATACTGGATTTGAGGACTTTGAATTTCCCAATAAAGTAGTATTAATGTGCATTATCATTAATGGCCTTATTGGAACAGTTCTCTCAGAGTTCCTGTGGTTGTGGTATGTACTGCTTATTACACTATGATTCATTCGTTATCAGATTGTGGATTTTGGAATAAGTTTAGCCTTTTTATTTTGCCTTCTGATTTTATGTATACTTCCTTTCACTAGTACAGGAACTTTATTTCTATTTTTAATTCCTGTATACCAATTTTATAAACCAGTGCCTTGCATACAGAGGGAGCCCAGCAAATATTTAAGTTAATAAATATTAGTGATTGAAATTTAAAGCTGTGATTTAGAGAGTAGAGTGTTATGCAAATGAAGGATGTCCTTATCTAGTGGACATTCAAACTTGCCTATTGAGATGTATCCAAATGGGAGTTCCAAGTGAGAATCCAGAGGGCTTTACTTATTTAGAGACTTTCAAGTGTCTGGTTGTTCGTAGACATTTTTATTTTATTCTTGGGACTTTTCTTATTGATGAGACAGATACGTAAATCCTAAACTAATGTGAGTTTTTAAAATTTTTATAATATTTTATAACATCAAATATGTTCGTAAGTGATAATAAAATAATCATAAGTAGTTTGAAGATAGGATCATGTATGGGGTTTAAGAAGACTTTCACAGCTGATACTTTTCACAGCTGATACTGATGTTTTTCTGCGTATTTGGCACTTAAAAAGGGATAGCTCAGTGGGCTAAGAGACCCAGGTTTGATCCTCTCCACCATCACTCCCCTAACAAAAAGGGAAAAAAGCACAAATTGTACTTGAAAGCCTACATTAATTTTATTATATACCAATCAAGTCTATTAAATTCTTTTTCCTTCGCAAGAGACTTACAACAATAAAAGTTTTTTCTTTTATACATTTTTCCTTCTACTCTGATGTCTTCTACAATCACTCGTTTTCATGTAGTACTTAAAATTTTACTTTTTATCATAAATTTATGGACTTACATTCCTTTGCTGATCTAAAAAACCTTGTGATCAGAATCTACTTGCTCATTGTTCTCTGTTTCGAAGATACACATTCTATGTATTCTGTTAGTGTGTAATCTCTAGTTCTCCTGTCATATCATTTTTGTTGATTCTGGGCTGATAGAACCACTTACTAGTAGTGCTTGAATTGAAATCTTGGCCTTCATCTTTTTCTCCTATGGAGAAGCCTGTGATCTCTCTTGAACATCTCTCTCTCTCTCTCTTTCTCTCTCTCTTTCTTTCTTTCCCTCTCTCTCATATTTCTCTGAATTTTTAATTCATTTTAATCATTTTGACTATTTTTATATGATTCAATGCAGTGACCTATATGCAGTATATTATTTTGCACTCACTGTATTTTAATATAAGTTTATATTCTCTAGTTTTCTGTTTAAATTAGAAATTTCAAAGCATGAGTTTCTACATATTCAGAAAGTAGGCTGAAGAAGGGTTTATTTAATAGGATCTTATTACTTTGAGACTAACAGTGAACATGGATTATGCCACAGACGGATACCAAAATTCCCAGTCTCTGTTGAGAGCTTTATATTTAATAAACATAGAGATATGCAGTAGAGTTCAACAGAATTTATATAAGCTTTGGAGGTAATTATTCATTTAAAGAAATAATAGATAACACATTTTTTAATATTGCATATTTAAGTATTCTAAACTCAGAATAGTAATACAGAAATCCACAAAATATAGTCTCCCTTCTACATTTCTTAATATTTCCCCAGACTCAACCATTAACTCAGCCAGCCCAACCAAGCCGGGTTCGATTCCTCCGCCCCTCTCGAAGAGCCCGGCAAGCTACCCAGAGTATCTCACCCACATGGCAAAGCCTGGCAAGCTACCCACGACGTATTCAATATGCCAAACATAATAACAAGTCTCATAATGGAGACGTTACTGGGCCCACTTGAGCAAATTGATGAACAATGGGAGGGCAGTGACAGTGGCAGTGACAACCATTATTAGATTTAAACTTGCTTGCCTTGGAAAGATCAAAAAATTAAATATACATCCACATATGTCTTCAGATACATAAATACACATTTATGTGTGTGTGTATATACATATATACACACATTTGTAGGATAACTCAGTCACACAGACTTTGAATTTTATTAGAAAATTACAGATGGAATACATTTTGTATTCACAATTGTATTATGAGCATTTATTGTTGAATACTTAAATACTGAAGGGTCATATTCTGTTCAAAGGTCCTTGTAGCCTTATCTTGGATGAATTTTGTAGATTTCAGTTTTTTTAATATGCTTATACACTTAAGCATTTAAGAGTTTTATTTAATTTCTTTATTTGTGTGTGTGTGTATGTTGGGGGATTGGATTTTTGGGCCACACCCGGCAATATTTAGGGGTTACTCCTTGCTCTGCACTAAGGAATTACTCCTGACAGTGCTTGGGGATCTTACAGGAAGCTGGGGATCATATAGGAAGCTGGGAATCTAATCCGGACCAACCTACCCTCTGTACTATCGCTCCAGCCCCACATTTGAGAGTATGCATGGTAACAACTCTGTAAATTAACCAGTAACAAACTAATGCTCATTTTTCTTTAAAAATCAGTGCTGTGATATACTTTTTGCAATTTAATATTTTTGAGGTTTGGACCACAGCTATAGGTACTCTAGAGCTTCTCCCAGCTCAGCTCAGGAAATCATTTCTGGTGGTACTTAGGGTCCTTGTTGTGTCATGTGGAGTGTGCAGTCAGCCCGTTGAGCTACCACTCTGGCCCTATTGTAAATGTCCTCCCCCACATTCATGATGCCATGAGTCAAACTCAGGACCTTATACAAGCATGGTGTGAGCTCTGCCACGGAGCCATATCCTGAATTTTAATAAAGATGTTCCCTTTATTATTGCAGAATTATTAAAACTTTCAACAGTTTAATAAAATATGTTAATGAGATATAAGCTATGCATCCAAAGTTGAATTATATTCTGTTTAAGATATTAAAAGTGAAAATTTTGTACTTTTGTATTGAATTTATAAATATTTGGAGGTAAACTTTAAGAATCATGTAAAAATTTAATTGTGTCTCAGTTCATTTAAAGCTTTTGTTTTTGCTACTGATCTCCCTCCTCTATCATAGGATAGTCTTTGATAAATGTCTTTTTTTGTGACTTATTTTTTTAACATGGAAATACGTATCTTACTTTTGTTTTCTATTTAGGGGCTGCTTTCTTACCTCATCATTGATAGGCACACTTGCACTAAGCCTCACTATACCTCTCTCCATAATAGCTGATATGTGTATGCAGAAGGTAAGACGAACTTTTCCATACTTTAGGAATATTATTTGATCAAAACTAGTAAAAGTTACAGGAGTAAGGGATATATTTTAACATATAGTATATGTTTTGATATCTAAAAAGAATTCCACAGATCATTTTATATTATGGCAATACTAATCTAGATCAGTATATCACAGGAGTAAAATTATTTTCTAATGAATGTTAATTTTTTTCTAGACTCAGGAGGGCCCGTGCTCTTTCTTTCTTTTGTGAAGCTCTGGTCTCTTTTCTTGTAGCATATTTGCAGTGGTAATATTGCAGAAAAGGAAAATCTGGGTGTGCTTCCAACCAGCCTGTAAGGAGGAATCTCAGTACTCTTAGAGATATGCCATTGACTGATTCTCAGAGATTTGCTGTAGCCATGTATCGTCTAATATTTGTAAATTTTAAATTCTCAAGTATTAAGTAACCAAAACAGAATGGTGTTTGTGGAGATACGTAGTTTTAGTGTAATTTGAGAGGAAAATACTTGAAAGCGCAAAGAAAGTGCCATGTCGTGTAGATATTTTAATCAGATTTTTAAAGCTGTTTGTCTTAAACTCTTTAGCTTAAGTTTTCAGGATAAAAGCATAGTATTGTCAGTAAGAGTTTTCATCTTCATAAAGCAATTCAGTGCTTTTTACCTGTTTTATGTTTCAGTATTTTTTATTTGTCAGGATTAAAAGGGAGATTTTCTTCATTGACAGTTGACTTATATGTCATGCATTTTCAAAAAATGATCAGATATCCATAACCTTAAAGTTAGTAAAGTAAAAGTAAAGGCCCTCCCATTGATCATCGATTTGCTCGAGCAGGCCCAGTAACGTCTCCATTGGAGACTTTGTTGTTACTGTGTCTGGCATATCGAATACGTCACGGGGAGCTTGCCAGGCTCTGCCATGCGGGCGAGATCCTCTCGGTAGCTTGCCGGGCTCTCCGAGAGGGGTGGAGGAATCGAACTCGAGTCGGCCATGTTGGCTGCGTGCAAGGCAAACGCCCTACCGCTGTGCTATCGCTTCAGCCCCAACCTTAAATTTACAACATTAAATTATCTTATAGACTTAAATAATATCCTGGTGCTTCAAACATCTCAGGGTCATAATCTTACATATAGCCAAAATAGTTCTAGTGCAACTGGGGAAGTGCTTCCTGTTTTGGGATTGTGATATACTGCCTTTAAATTAATAAGGGTAGAATGGTAAAATAATAAAGTAATTTTACCATTCTGATAGAAAACATCAGCCCTTGCAGGTTTAAAAAATAAAAATTGAAGGTTACTATTGGGATAAATATTTAAGGAATTCTCAGAAGAAAACTAATGTCATTAAATATTTACTTGAAATCTTAAGATAAAGGCAAAACACAGGAAAATAGAAAATGTCTGTAAATATAATTACAGAAGCAACCATCGTCTTGATTGACTTCAAATCTAGGACTAGGCACCAGTTAAATGAGTAAGCTGGACCTTTGGTGGGAATTGAGTCTAGGGAGATAACTCAGAATTAAAAACAGCAGGTGTGCCCCAGAGAGGTAATAGAGACATGGTAGGAAAACTTTACTTGGATTTTTAATTCTAAAAATTGACTCTCTCCCCTGCCCCTAAGTGTGTGTGTGTGTGTGTGTGTGTGTGTGTGTGTGTGTGTGTATAGTATATGTACACATACATATATATAAACAACATTAAAATGCACTGTATATAGTTTCTAAGTGTATAGTGTATTCTTAAACACTCTTGTTTATTGTGCTTGAAGTAAATTGATTATTCAGACCTATTGCAATTGATGTTTTGTGTAAGAGGATCAGCATCCTGATTGTATTTAGATTTATATTTAGATGTATTCAGGAATTATTCATATTTTTGCTTAGGTAGGCGATTTTCTTTCTCACCAGATGTTTTATTTTATTTATTTTTGAGGTGCTGGGGATCAAACCCAGTGCCTCAGACATGCAAGGCAAGTGCATCCCCGATCGAAATGTTTTCAATTATTTAAAGTTTCTTTATAGCTTATTGACTAGAAGTTTTTCATTATGTGGCAGTAGAGATAACTGTATTGTAAACAGTGAGCTTTGCCTTTAAAATCCATCTAAGATTTAACCTTTATTAAGTTTGTTTTTATTTAGTTACAAAATAGTCTTTTAGTTCATGTACATGAAGCTATCCTGCCAACCATATCGACATTTTAAGTTCTCATTAGTTGTAAATTTTCCACACATTTTCTGGTCTTGGCTCACTTAAGTGCATTGTTGATTTCCTAGATTATTAAGTACCTGACAGATATTTCAAGATTATACCAACACTGATAAGTGAAGACTTTTTGGTTTGTCTACCTGAGTGCTCTTTCTAGAATGTTTTTAGGCTGACTCACCTTTCGTGGGTGTACCATATTAATAGGATGTGAACGTGAAAAGTTGACAGTGATTATTCTATGTGAGATATTGTGATGAGTCTCTCATTGGGGGTAAAATTATTGACACAAAATCTCTTTAATATGACGAAAAGTGCTGTGAAATGGAATAGTGTACTTTTTCCACTAGAGGGAGCATTGCTTGGATTCTAAATTTCTAAATGCTATTTTTTTTAAAGGTTTAAAGCAGACAGAACCTTTTCGTCCCTATTTTAAAACTAGAAGTTACTATTTTCATAATTTGAGGGAAAATTACCAGTATGTTATAGCAGCTAAGTCCAATTACAGTTAACTGGTGCAGGTTTCTCTGACACTTACCTTTTAAGTTGAATGTAGATAATAAAAATCAAGCATGAGCTAGTGAAAGGGGAGAATGATTTGGAAGGTGGTTAGCATCTCATTTTAGTTGTCCTGACAACCCTGATAAAATGATGCAGAGGAGGTTGGACCTAAATGTCTGAGTACACTTTACTGTTGAGGTGCATTTTTGCTGCCTACTATTTCTCCCACTCATATTTCCCACTAAAAATATGTTTTAGTCTTTATTTTACACAGTCATGATTTCCTTTGTAATTTTTTTATTTATCAATAGATAATTAAGCTAGTTTTGATTATCAGGATTAGAAGTTCTTACAGATTACTAATGTAAAGTTTGCAAAAATTGCATTGAAGAACTTGTAGTGCTGTAATGAGAATGATAATTTATCACCGCTACAGAATAAGAGACTTTTGAAAAATCTGGGAATTTGTCTTAGTCTTGGTGCCGGGGCTCAAAGAGTTGTCTCATGCATGCAAGGCATGTGCTTTACCAATAAGCCATGTCCCTGGCCTTAAATGTTTTGTATTGTTTTAAGATGACTTATGAAACTAAAGGAGAGTAGAATCAAATTGAAAATAGACAAAAGCAGGGGGCTGGGGTGATAGAGTGATAGCACAGCAGGTAGGGCATTTGCCTTGCCCACAGCCGACCCGGGTTCGATTCCCAGCATCCCATATAGTCCTCCAAGCACCACCAGAAGTATTTCCTGAGTACAGAGCCAGGAGTAACCCCTGTGCATCACCGGGTGTGACCCAAAAATCAAAACAAACAAAAAAAGATAGAATCAGTAGAGAAAAAATGAAAGATATGATGTGGAAAAATAAAAGTTTAAAGTTTCATAATTCTTATCTAGAATGTACTTTGCCTAATAAATAAAGAGTTTTCCTTCTTGGCTCTCTTATAGGCTATTTACCAAGAAAAAATATTTCTTTGGTAATTTAATTGAAGGTAATTTTACAGTGAAGCTCTAATACTCATATTTAACATAATTGATATATTATCAGTGCCAAATATTACATTCTTGATATTTTAAATGATTCATCAGAGTTCTTATAAATGAAAAATTTGTATTAGCAAGGAAATTTGTGTTAGTGTTAACTTTGTGTTCTTTTTCTGTCTTTTATTTGTAGGTGCAGTTCTCATGGCTATTTTTTGCAGGAGCTATCCCTGTATTTTTTTCATTTTTTATTGTAACTCTTCTCTGCCATTACAATAATTGGGATCCTGTGATGGTGGGGATCAGAAGAATTTTTGCCTTTGTATGCAGAAAACATCGAATTCAGAGGTAAGTATAATTCCCATAAATTTTTTGTAAATGCTAAATTAATGCTATCTGGGAATCTTGTCTTACTGGCAGAGTTGTAGAGTTGTGTGTGTGTGTGTGTGTGTGTGTGTGTGTGTGTGTTTATTTTCAGAGATACTATGCCAGATAAAATAGTTTGTTGAGTTCCTTTGAATGATAATATAGTTTCTTTTACGTCTAGCTCGAAATGAAAAGCAGGGGTCAGAGCAATAGTATAACAAGTAGGGCGCTTGCCTTTCACATGTCGGACCCAAGTTTCATTCCTGGCACCCAATATGGTTCCCTAAGCTCACCAGGAATGAACCAGGAGCACAGAGCTAGGAATAAGCCCCTGAGCACCACTGGCTGTGCCCCAAAACAAAATAAAATAGCAGTGTGTTGATTCACAGGTAAAATCAGAGTGCTTAATTATTTTGTTATAACTAATTTATTTTTTTTTCTTTTATTTATTTATTTATTTATTTATTTATTGAATCACCGTGGGAAAGGTTACAAAGCTTTCAGGTTTAGGTCTCAGTCATGAAAATATCAAACACATTTCCCTTTACCAATACTTATTTTTTACCATGAAGAACCCCAATAAAACCCCATCCCCCACCCCTCCCAGTCCCTGTGGGGCAGATGAATTCTAGTTAACACTCTATCTGCTTTGATTAGATTCATTGTTTCAATAAAAGATTCACCACTATTATTTAGAGTTTACCTCCCCCCCCCAATCAGACATGCTGAAAAAGCATTGTGAAGTGATTTGCTTTCTACAGCTGGGTTCAAGAATTAAATGTTGGTTTTGGATTTCTGCTATTTTACTTATTGACCCGGGAAGTATTTCTACTGAAAGTCAAATAGTTAAGAAATTGGTTTCTGTGCTCTGGAGTCGTGGCCGTGCTGGAGAGCCGCTCGTGGGGGGCAACTGGTGACCTCGGTAGGGCGTGAAGGGCGGACCGAAACGCCCCCCTTCCCATGAGGTTTTAGTCGCCCCCAGTCCCCCGGCTCATGCCTGCTGTCCACAAGGCTCCCATGTGGCTGCCATCTTTCTTTCCAGAGAGGAGATGGCGAATGGGGCAACACCCTTTCCCCTCCGGCAGACTTGATGGCCTGGATTAACACATAGTCCGTTCACTTTTCTGCTCCAAGCTGCTGGGTTCTGCATTAAGTCCTTGTGCTTCTGGGGCTGTGGCCGTGCTGGAGAGCCGCTCGTGGGGGGCAACTGGTGACCTCAGTAGGGCGTGAAGGACGGACTGGAACGCCCCCCTTCCCATGAGGTTTTAGTCGCCCCCACACCCCCGGCTCATACCTGCTGTCTACAAGGCCCCCATGCGGCCGCCATCCTTCTTTCCAGAGAAGAGAGGGCGAATGGGGCAATACCCTTTCCCCTCCGGACAGACATGATGGCCTGCATTAACGCATAGTCCGTTCACTTTTCTGCTCCAAGCTGCTGGGTTCTGCATTAAGTCCTTGTGTTTCTGGGCTGTGGCCGTGCTCCAAACTTAACTATGATTTTCAGAGAGAAACATTGGGTGGTTTACTTCCCATGGTTCACTTTGTATATAGAGAGATGGTTTTGAGGAAAAGTCCTAGTTCCCGCATACTCGAGCTGTGCTTGTAGAGGCTTCTGGTCACCGGGGTTCCATCTGGGGGAGGCGGGATGCGGTACCTACCCCATCTGGGACTTCCCGGTGATCTCGGCTCTTTTTGGAACCTGTTTTTTTTTTTTTTTCCCTTCGGGATCTGTGGATCCCGCCCTCCATGTAGTCCTTCTCTTCCTGTTATAACTAATTTAAAAGTAGAAAATTTACTACTTTAAACAAAATTAATAATAGAGCATGTTAACACTGCCTCCAGGGACTGGAGTGATAGTGCACAGGTAGGGTACTTGCCTTGCACGTGGGTGACCCAACGGTTTCCATTTGGTCCCCTGAGCCTTCCAGGTGTGATTCCTGAGTACAGAGTCAGAAGTAACCCCTGAGTATGGCCCCTAAGCCAAACGCATACAGAAAAAAACATCACTTCCAGTCTTTTCCATTTTCATTTTAGGAGAGAAAGCTTTTCCTATGTTTAGAACACACTTAAGATGAGAGATTGGGAAACCTTGCCCTGGTGTTTTTTCTGACTGGGTAACGTTAGCCAGTGGAGCAGATCATTTTTAAGGGGTTGTTTAATTCTGAAGTCTTCTTGAACTTTTTCTTTAAGGGTTCCAGAAGATAGTGAGCAGTGCGAGAGTCTCATCCCTATGCACGGTGTTTCTCAGGAGGATGGAGCTAGTTAGCTGCTGTCGTCTGTGGTTCAGGTTTGTATGTTCTTTCGCGTGAGTGTTGAACAAATACTTACGATTATAATGCTCGAGTACAGAATTGATTTTCCATATTTTTTTGAGAGTGAGCCTATCTAAGAGGCATGGGAGCCCAACTCGAGACTCAGACTGCTTCGGTCGCCGTTTCAGCTTCTCCACGTATGGCCCTCTCTCAAGTCCTTAACCTCTCTGTGACTACGTTTTCTTATATATGTAATGTGGTTTCAAAAAAGTTCTTCTCATAAATTTGTCGAAATATGAAATTTTTGGCAACTTTAAAATACGTGTGTAATCATTTATACTATCCATATGCTTAATTTGAGTTCATTAAGTGATACTAAGTTCTACCTTTTATCATACTGAGGGTCATCATTCCACTTGATGTTATACTTTGGAAAGGTATTTTTTTTCTGATGAGTATAAAAGTTAAAAAATGCTGTAATACTTTGAAGCACACCCAGTCTTTTCTTTATGCACGTGTGTATTTTTCATAATCGGCACAGTGCAGACACTAAATCTGAGTGACTTTTTTCACTTAACTGTGTGGACTGGAGTAATAGCACAGCGGGTAGGGCACATGCCTTGCACGCGGCCAATCCAGGTTTGATTCCTCTGGCCCTCTCGGAGAGCCCGGCAAGCTACCAAGGGTATATCCTGCCCGCATGGCAAAGCCTGGCAAGCTACCTGTGGCATATTCAATATGCCAAAACCAGTAACGACAAGTCTCACAATGGAGATGTTACTGGTGGCCGCTCGAGCAAATCAATGAACAGCAGGACAGTGCTACAGTACAACTGTGTTTAAGGAACCTTATGCTTTAAAGAATTGTATGAAATTTTATATTTTGTTTATTATATGACAGATACATGACACTTTATGTTTCACTGAATTTGCTCAAGCGGGCCCAGTAACATCTCCATTGTGAGACTTCTTGTTACTGTGTTTGGCATATTGAATACTCTCGGTAGCTTGCCAGGCTCTCCAAGAGGGGCAGAGGAATCGAACTTGGCTCCGCCAGGCTGACTGCGTGCAAGGCAAATGCCCTACCGCTGTGCTAAATGCTTGAAATAAATCTAGTATATATCTTTGGCAGTTGTAGAAGTGATTGTATGTTTTATAATCAATTTTATATTATTATAGTTCACTGAAATTTTAGAGATTCAGATTCATTTCTTCTGTGATAACTTTGCTGAGTTAACATTGAATCATTTCCTTATTATAATTAGGCTTAATCCCTCACATAGATTATTGGACGACTTCCATCAAATCTTTGGATTCACATTGTTCTTTTTTTGTTTCACTTATTTATTTTTTTGGACCACCCCTGGCTGTGCTCATGGGCTTACTCCTGGCTCTGCACTCAGGGATCATTCCTGGTGGTGTTCAGGGGACCACTTGGGGTGCTGGGTATTGAACCTGGGAAGGCAGCATGCATGATAATCAGTCGCCTTACGCACTGTACTATTTCTCTGGCTCCAGCATTCACATGGTCTTAGAAGTTTGAAAGTTGCTTTACCTTCAAGTTCAGTTCACCTTTCACTTAAGACTAAGTATTTTGGTTTTCATTTTGGTTTGCTTTGCTCAGTTTTTATTCTAGTCTTTTCTGGTTGCGAGGGTTACCAACAATGCAGTTCAGAGAGAGTTCTGTAAGACTTCCTGAGCCAACCAGCTAACCCCTGCCCTTCGTGACCTCTCCTGCTTGCTTTCTTTTCCTTATAAAGAATCACTTTTAAACTCTTTGGTCAGGGCCTGAGCAATAGTACATTGTGTAAAACCCTTATTTTGCACCCATCCAACTCGAGTTGTGCCGGCTATACCCCATACGGTCCCCTGAACTCACCAGGCGTGATCTGGGCATACCAAGAGTGAGTTCTGAGCACCAACAGCTACGATGTCTCTCCATCCCCAAAGGAAAGAGCACTGTGTCATATCTCTTGTTTCCTTTTTTCTTTACTCTCTTCAGTACCGCCAAGTATCATGCTCATACTTTTTTTGATTTCTTGGTGTAGGGATCTTCCATTGATTTCCCTAGTTTGATTGTTGAGGGAAAATTACTTTCAGGTTTTTCTCTCTTCTGTTCCCACTCGTTACCTGCCTTCCAACCCGCTGTAGTTCTACCTCGTCTTCATCCCAGGAGAGTTATTGCAAGGTTTTGGATTAAGCTGTAATCCAAGTTTACATTGTTATGACTTTATTACATTATAGAAATGTTACTTTTACCTGGGCTGGAGCGATAGCACAGCGGGTAGGGCGTTCGCCTTACAAGCGGCCAACATGGCCGACCCGAGTTCGATTCCTCCGCCCCTCTCGGAGAGCCCGGCAAGCTACCGAGAGTATTCGATATGCCAAACACAGTAACAACAAAGTCTCCAATGGAGACGTTACTGGGCCCGCTCGAGCAAATCGACGATCAACGGGAGGGCCTTTACCTTTACCTTACTTTTACCTGAGTTATTAGGATTTATCTGACAGTTGCCCAGTGTGAAATTTTTTTCCTAACCATATTAGAGAATAATCCCAAAGCTTTTAGGTTAAGAGATTCTTGACCGGCTGAAAAGCTGGGGGCTTTTGAATGTCTTAGTTGCATTTTCTATAAACTTTGTACCATTTTCCTGTTTTGACTTGTTTATTTACCTTGCCTGACAGAGCTACCTGGTGGTATTTATTCATTACTAAGAGTTAACTGCTATTTATTTTTCCTGTTCTCTTTGTGTGATTAATTCCTTTAAAAGAAAATCCTTTTTCTCTTTTTACTGAGGTCTGGGGGACAGAACAACACGAAATATATTAGTCTGCCGCCTTTCAGTTTCTAGAAAGACACATTGTTATCTCAAAAGTGTTTAAGTGGCAGTGTGTACGGTTCTTTACTAGTGCATCCTCTTTACTCACACTGGTACCCACCCCTGTTCAACTCTCAGTTTTGGAAATGAGAACTGGATAGAGGGGAAAATGGTGGATATAGTAATGAAGATGGTGAAGGGGAAGGATTGCAATAGAGTGAAAATGGAACGGATAAAGCAGGAGTCCTTAGCTCATTAAAAATAATGGTGAGACAGACCATGAATGAACTTACTAAGCCATCTACAGTTAGTGCTGGGTATTAGCCTTTGACGTCATTATAGCACTCACTCTCATGTATTCTTAGAGTCCACCTCAAATTCAGGTATCCAGTTATTACTTTATTTTATATGTATTTCAATACTATGATAATTTTATTTTTAAAATATAAATTACAGAAAATGAAAGCTATAATGATTGTAATATAACCTATTTTTGTTTTTTTTTAGAGAATGGAACATTATACAGCGAAGAGACAATCTCTGGCAAGTTTTTTAGAAAAATGTTTCAGTGCCTAGTCTGAAGATAACAGTTTCAGTTCTTTGGAACTCTAAAAGTATATTTTCCATGTATCTGTTTTCTTCATTTTCACAATGAAGAACTTTGTCATGTAGCTGTGTATATATCACTACAGTTATAGGAAGTTCCTGTCCACAGGACCAACTTGCCTTATACATCTCAAAAAATTCAACTGGTAAAACAATTTGAGTTAATCAAGGAATAAAATCGTAATGTCTGGTGACTTTATCTTGCACATACATTTGGTAAATTCTTGATTATATTATGAAAATATTTTCCAGAAATCATTTAAGTAAATAGATCCATGTTTCTTATAGTCAAAATGCTAAATAACATGCCTATAATAGGTACAGATTATATTTTGAGTTTTTTAGAATATTGAAAATTAATGCAAAAAATTTTAACTTATATCAAGTATGTTCGTGCAAAACTTTAGTGAAATTTTTTAAAGAATCAATATTTGAGGAAAAGATTGGTTCACTTATACTACATTTATTGTATTATCCTTTCATAGCATTAGGTGCCTTGTATTTTAAATCTGTGACAAACCATTTTTAAAGGGGAAGTATTATAAAATGAGAAATTATGTATTTCTAAGGCTGTATTACTGTAAATTTAATTGATAAAGAGCTCTGCTTTCTTTAGAGTTTTGAATAAATATTCTCTCTTCAATTAAGAAATTTTCATAATGGAATGATTTTAATTGAAGTCATAAATGGATCATTAAAATAAAATGTTTATATGTATATATTTGTGTATTCGAAATCTATCAATTGATTTCTGGATTTTTTCTTCATATATGTGTGCCAAATTACTCTAGAACCAAATGTTTCTTTAAATAATTTCATTTTTCCAAATGTTCACTGTCACTGTCACTGTCACTGTCCTCCCATTGTTCACCAATTTGCTTGAGCGGGCCCAGTAACATTGTGAGACTTGTTACTGTGTTTGGCATATTGAATACATCACAGGCCCCAGGGCTGTTCTTTCTTGAAGAACTACCTCTTTAGAAAGAAGCATTACTGAACTGAAAGTTTTGAGTTACTGCTCCTTTGCTTTCCAACCAAGTATCTTTTCTCTCAGGCTTCACTTGTCTCACTGGTACTTATATTTAAATACTGTACCCTTGGCGAGTGAAGAATTGAGGACTTCCCTTTTGCACTCTTGTAATGAAGAGTTCACATTCTCAGGAAATTTAAGTTTTGGTGGATTACTTGCACTTTGTGACAGCCTAGAAATATAAGCATTAATACCCAAGGATCACAGCAACAGTGCTACAGGGCTAGGGCAATTTTGGACAGAAGTTACCTTCAAGGACCTGCTTTTGCCTTTTCTGTTGAAATAGCGTTGACCTGTGATTATGTTTCTCTGAATCTAAAAATGTAAGTAGGGTTTTCTAATAGCTTGTTTTCAATCTTCTACTTTTCTTCCCATAAATAATTTAAGTACCATATTGACTAATATCCTTTATTATGACCTTGATTGGAGGAAGTCTATTTTTTTTCTCAGAAACTTTCTCTTTGATGCTACTAAAATAGAACTGGAAAGTGAGACAGCCTTAAAAGTGCTTACATGAATACTATTTGGAGCTTAGAAGAACCATAGGTATATATAAAGCACCTACATTTATTTAGGGCTGGAGCGATAGCACAGCAGGTAGGGCGTTTGCCTTACAAGCGGCCAACATGGCCGACCCAAGTTCGATTCCTCCGCCCCTCTTGGAGAGCCCGGCAAGCTACCGAGAGTATCTCGCCCGCACGGCAGAGCCTGGCAAGCTCCCCGTGACGTATTCGATATGCCAGACACAGTAACAACAAAGTCTCCAATGGAGACGTTACTGGGCCCACTCGAGCAAATCGACGATCAATGGGAGGGCCTTTACCTTTACCTTTTACCTTTACATTTATTTAAATAAATTTTGATTTTTAAAATATGATATAATGGTCTCTATCAACATGACATAATTCCTTACATTAGACTGGTTTCCCCTTGGCAGCTAATGAATTAAGTTCAGTATTTCTATAGAAGTGAGCTTACAAGGTTAAATGTGAATGTTCTCAAAGATATATAGATAGCCTTGTTTCAGGAAGAATGCTAATATCCGCTTTAAAATCAGTCATGCAGAACCAATTTGTTGTTACAAGGTATGACTCCTTCTGGAAACCAGTAAGGCACTAGGCATATAGCACTAACCCTGTATGCTGGTTGAAGAAGTGAAAGATCTTTAAAGAAAAATGAAGAATTAGAAAATATTTTTCCAGAGTCAGATTAGTAAATAAATGAAATTTTTCATTCAAAATTCTGTATCACGGTATCAACGGTCCTCCCGTTGTTCATCGATTTGCTCAAGCGGGCCCAGTAACGTCTCCATCATGAGACTTGTTGTTACTGTGTTTGGCATATCAAATATGTCACGGGTAGCTTGCCAGGCTCTGCCGTGTGGGCGAGATACTCTCAGTAGCTTGCCGGGCTCTCCGAGAGGGGCAGAGGAATCGAACTCGGGTCACCCATGTTGGCTGCGTGCAAGGCAAACGCCCTACCACTGTGCTATCGCTCCAGCCCATTCAAAATTAAATTTTTTCATTGTTATAATCCTGCTTCATTCCTCTCTCCTTTTGAAGTATATAACTGAACCACGGTTTAGGAAGATATCACAGAATTGAGATGAACATTATTTGTTATATCTTCATATTTAACATGTAGTTAAAATCTGATGATTATTCTGGCTCTTATGCAGTTTTCAAGTTTACAGATTTTGAAGTTTCTGTTTAGTATATCATGGCAAGTTTTACTTAATTTTTTTAACTTAAATATTTTAAACTATAGAGGTGACATTAATGGTTATATATAAGCATTTACAAGAGTATATGTATTTATACATATACTTATATTTAAATACTGTAAATTTAGGGATACAGTATTACCATACCATGCTTAACATCAGAGTGATCCTATCATATTATATTCCCCCTAAAGACCCAGTCATAGAGCTCATAGAACCATTCCCTTCCACTCCCAGGCAGACCTCCTTTCCTCAGAACCTTCATTCTGTTTTCAGAATCTTGGGTATTTGTTTTCACTGGAGGTTTCTATTCCCTTACTTTGTTTATTTGTACCCACATGTAATTGAGATCATCCAGTCTTTCTCCTGATTTCTTTTGCTTAGCAGGACACCCATTATTTCCACTCACATTTTAGTAAAAAGAAAAGACTTTATGTTTTCTTTTAGCTGCTCAGTATATCACATCTTTTTTTTTTGGGGGGGGGGTCACACCCGGCAATGCACAGGGGTTACTCCTGGCTCTGCACTCAGGAATTACTCCTGGTGGTGCTTAGGGGACCATATGGGATGTTGGGAATTGAACCCAGGTCGGCTGTGTGCAAGGCAAATGCCCTACTGGCTGAGCTATCACTCCAGCCCAGAATATCACATCTTAGCTCATTTGTTGTGCGGTACATGGGCTGTTTCCAGATCTAAGCTATTTTAAGTAGTGCTGCAGTTAAGCAGTGACTATAAGTAGGTGTGTGTGTGTGTGTGTGTGTGTGTGTGTGTGTGTGTAGTGTTTTTGTGTTCTTTAAATAGACATGTTGGAGTGGAATTACTGGGTAAGCTTCTTGTTCTGTTTTTAATTGGGTGTTCAGGGTTCACTCTTGATTCAGGGATTTGAACCAGGATCTGCTGTATAAGAAAAGCACCTTAATACCTTGTATTATGTCTCTGGCCACTATTTTAATTTTTTAAAATAACTATAATTCCCCACAGAGTCCAAATTAATTTAAATTTTTTATAGACACTTATAATTTTTACATTTCCCCCCCCCCACACACACACACACATTTCCTTTTTGCTGTATCAGTACCATTCATCTGTACAAAATTGGTAGTAAAGTGTTTCATGCTTTGTGCACTGTGTACGCAAAAGTTTCCCAGCCACTCCATAGGGCTGTGAGGTAGTGTAGAGGTTGAGACACATGCCTAGCTGTTAGCTATGTGTGCACCTAACCGAGTTCCATCCTTGGCACTAGATGATCTGAGCATCATTGGTTGTAGCCCTGAAGATTCCTGAGAACCACCAGAATGGTCTGTGCAATCCTTTGCACAGCAGGGCCTGCGCAGCACCATATTCTCAGAACTGATTGGCTACAAATCACTGGGGTACTCCTAGGCCTCCTGAGTGCTGCTCGGGAGGTTGTGAAAAAAATTTTAATAGCCATAAATAAATTGAGGGTAGAAAATGGTTTATTACAAATTAGAATCATCATCATGGGAATTACTGTTACAATAACATGAGACAAATTTGTTTTGACATCAAGAATAAAGATTACATAGTGAATGAAATTTTAGAGTGCCTTACTTTCATTCTGATTTTTCATTATAAAATTCCAAGTAGTGGGAAGGTCATTGATGGAGGATCTTGGGTGCTTTGGTGATGGGGGGTACAATAATTTTGATCAGTACCATCAGTGTCGAGTAAATCAATGAACAGCGAGATGACAGTTATACAGTGATACCATGTAACCATGTTACCTAAGCCCGGCAAGCTACCGAGAGTATCTCGCCCGCACGGCAGAGCCTGGCAAGCCACCCGTGATGTATTTGATATGCCAAACACAGTAACAACAAAATCTCCAATGGAGACATTACTGGGCCTGCTCGAGCAAATCGATGAACAACGGGCGGGCCTTTACCTAAGTACAGGGGTAAGGTGCTTGCCTGGATCAATGCCTGGCATTTCATATGATCCTCTGAACATTTCCAGCCTTCACCCTTGGGCACTGAGCCAAAAGTAGCCCCTGAACTCTGCCAGTTATGGCCCCCAAACAGATAAGGAAAAAGTTAAGGTGAAAAAAATATTCAATAGAGCATATTGAATTTTTGAAATATGCAAGTGGTTTATTTTTGAATTGGGGGCTTTGAGGTAAAAAAGTACTCAGATGAAGAGAAAGTTATGTAGTTTTTAAAATAATAAAAATAAAACTTTAATATTCTAATATAAAAATTTTAAAGCTTCCAAATTGAAACTTTTTAACAAGGCACTTGATGAAATTTTTAGGTTTTAATTTAATTTTACATATGATTTCTTTCTTAAGACCTTTTATTAACTGTGACTGAGATCTTGCATGCTAAGCGTTTGGAATTTCCCCACTTGGTTTTTCAAATATCCGTTTTAATTATGGCAAGTAATAATAAAGTTATTCATGCGGGAAAATTCATTAATTTTAGCATGTCCTTGCAAGGCATGCAGAAGATTTCTGTTCTCCAAGAGTCGTTGACATGAGGTGAAAACAATTCTTTAGAATCTTACTACCGGTATTTGCTTATTTAGAACAGCTTTCACTTTCTTGTCCTAATGTGAAAATCTAGTGTTAGGCCACGGAATGTTCAAAGCAAAATTTTGTGGAAGTATTTTTCTTTTTTGCTTAAACGTATAATAGACCAAGTTACTCTGACCTTTTAGTATGGTGTAAAATTATCTCTTTTTTTTTTTTTAATATAAATGCTGTAATGTCAGATAGTATGTTAGAGCAGGGACTTCTAAACTTGATCATGCATTAGCATTACATGGAAGACTTTGTTAAACGGCAAATTGTTGAGTGCACTTCAGTTTCTGATTGAGTAGGGAAGGGAGAGATGGATTTGCATTTCTAACACATTTCCAGGTAATGCCCTGCTGCTAATCTCAGAAACAAACTTTGTGAATCATTCCCTGAACTGAAACCACCAACTTTGACGTTAAACTTCCCTT